CATCCCCCAAGAGTAGACATTTTGAAGTAATGGATATTGTGCGTATTCGAAAGTGTGACGTCAAGAAATACGTCAAAAACAGACACAAAACGTCAGAAAACGTTTGAAGCACGCAGGATGCAATTAAAGGCATGTATTTAGCGAACCTTGTATGCTGGTAAGGGTACCTTGCCTCCAGTGAGCATGACGTATGATTTTCGTCACAAGAATTGAACGACCATATATAAAAATGATGATGTCGAATCAATCAGAATCATTTGAAGCTCCTTCATTCCGCCAGTAAAGAAGTGATTTGGGAAACAGATTCACCGAGAGGACTACCAGTTGCTAGCGACCAGCAATACTGGTTACAGCCTCCGCTAACCATCACGTTTCCTTGCTATTCCAGCCGGACACGAGTATTACTAATCAGGGGAAACAAGGTTGAGCGAAGATGATATGCAGCTGCATAGCAGATATCGTGGAGATAGTGATGCTGTCAATGACCGTCCAGTCAAACTCTCTAGCCTGAAACAAAAGGTGTCGGTTTGTAATTTGAATTTTATATAATGTAACAACAACGTGATTTCTGCATCGTGGTGCATCCTCATCCCTCAAAAGGGTTTCAGCAGTAATGTCTTGTATCTATGATGGTCCCACCACTTGATCCTTCGTTAGCCGATGGCATGAGCATCGGAAAATTTGGATTTGTTTGTAGTACTTTATGCGTGTGCGACTTCGTCATCATCATTGATGGAGTCGGGAAGCTTGAGTCCATTTTGAGCAATGTGTTCCTCTTGGGCGCTCTTGCTTGGCTTCTCAATAGCCTCGCCTTCTGGATCGTTCTTCAACAACCATCTTTCAATCTCTTCTGGAGATCCATCTAATAGAGTCAACTCGTCCTTTGAGAACAATCTTGGGTGCAAGTACAGGCGTGCTGGAATACACAACAGAACCATGACTGGGAAAGCAATCGAGATGGACTTGATTTCTCGGACAACACAGACGATTCCAAAGAAGAGGAATTGGAACATGGTGTACTTGTGAATGCGGTTGATAGGAATGTGCGTGGTGTAGTGATTCTTGTCGATCTTGCTTGGTTGTTGGAAAAGAAGGATGAATCGTTGGTAGAACTGCTGGCCTGGCAAAGCGACCAATCCCATGAACAAGAAGACACCGTACAGAACAGGAAGTGGGATCAACTTGATGACCGAGAGAGCAAAGATACAGGCCAACACCAGGCCATGTGTGAATAGTCCAGTCAGACGAGATTCTTGGATGTACTTGACTTCGCCCTTGTTGTCCTTCTCTTGCATGGCAGTGATGTGCATGATACATGGGACAGTAGAAGCGACCAACCAAGGCAAACCCATCAAGGAGTTTACCAAGACCATGACGGCAGAAACAACGGTATCGTAGTTATAGGCGTCTCCGTGGGCAAGTCTGTTGCTTGGGTGGTTGACAATGTGCCAAGTGATACCGTTATCCAAGAAAGTCAAGATGAAAGCTGGAATTCCAAGGGCGGCGGCGATGAAGATGACTTCGGTGTTTCCGTTGAGATCAAACAAATCAACAATCCATGGTCGGCGACCCCAAGGCTCAGCTTGGTCAGGACAGTCCGTGGGCCAATAGTCTCGGCAATCTTCAGTACAGCATGTGAAGGAAGTAGCGAAAGTGTCTGGGACATTGAGTTCTTCAATTTGGACATCTTCGAAGACGGTGTGTCTCAAGGCGGTCATGACAACCACCGAAATGGTAATGGCGAAATCGGTAATAACGGTTCGGGCGTAGTCGCTACAGCAGAAGGCAGAGCTGCGGATTTGACGAAGTCCAATGGCGAAGAAGGCGGTTCCAAGACCCAAGATAAGACTGAGAAGAGCAACAGTCATGTAGTCGTATGTGGCATCTTCTTCGAGCATGTCTTCGTGATGAGGGTGGTCAGTTCCAAAGTAGTGGAAAAGACCTACCTTGGAGGAAGGATTCCCAATGGCTCCCAACAAGAAAATAGAGACGATGAGCAATGCGAATGTCTCATCAGTGAATCGAGTGGCCTTTTTGATAAGTCTGTTGAAGTCAAAGAATGCAGCAGTCAATTGGTAAAAGCAAACCCAGATACCGATCCACGCGTTGAATGTAAGGAATGGAACGTCAAGCTGTTTAGCGAGATCATAACATACGGCTTGGAAGGTCAAGACGGGTCCAGTCCCTCCATTGATCATCTATTGTGTTGGTGAGACGGAAAATCAGTGTTAGTGTCACGATCACGAAGAGCACAGAATTTGATGTCGCCGAAACAACGTGACGAACAAAGGACTTACCATTGGTTGTCCAGAGACCAAAGAGTAGAAGATTCCACACCATGCGGTAGCCAAAAGAAGCTCGACGGCTCCAATGTAGTTGTTTGTAGCTTTCGCGTAGACGGCCCCGAAAGTGATAGTAGGAGCAATCACAGCGATGAACAAGAAGAAAGAGACAGCGACAGTCTTGGTGTTGAAGTTGGTCATTTCCTTAACCCAGTGGGTTCCAATGGTGCGCTTGAAATCAGCGATGATTCCTCGGCCGAATGTTTTTGGCTTGCCATCATCTCTATGATTGTCGACAGTCGAGTTGTCCTCATCTGTGCTTGGTTCAGCACGTGGAGGGTTCTTGCGAGCAAGTGGTTGCCTGTAACTAAATCCTGGCATAGTGACGACTTAGTGCAAGATTTCGGGACGTGGTTTATGATATCTCGTCGAGAGAATTTTATGAGGATAGAAGGACGTGGATTTTGACATCCGAGATGTGGGAAACGTGAGAATTGAGAAAGACAGGAACAGCCAATAATATTTGTCTACGAAATGACATTGCAAACATTACTAAAAGCAATTTGCATCTGGTCGGTCTCCTATTTCCTACGAAGTATACTTCCTACAACGCTACCAGCCCAAAAGATAATGATTTTGCAGACATTTGGAAGTAATGGATATGTGACGTATTCGAAAGTGTGACGTCAAGTACCTGTCACAATCGTAGAGTTTACGTGCAAGCGTCGATAAGTAAGAAACGAGAAATTGAAGAAGGAACGTCAACGGTTGCCTACCACGTCAGAAAAACTTTTAACGCAGGATCGGTGCAGGCTCTACGAGTACCAGGTAGACGTGTACCAGTAGATATTCCGCTGCGCAAAGTATGGTACCGTGAGTGAATTTGCAAACTTTGGAACATCGGAGAGCATGACGTCAGAATCCCCTGATGATGCCGGCTCTACTATACCTCCAAACATTAGTAAACTATTAGTAAATTGTGGTGGAAATCGGGGGTCAGATTGCCCCCATATCCTTTTCGGTCATGCCCTCCAATCGGTCTGTCCGACTCTCGCTCCGCCTGACTGCCGCACGTAGTCTACCGGTTCACACACACAGATAAAATGAATCATCGCAGAACCACTCTATGTAGTGGCCTGTTGCAGTTTGCCATTAAAACGCCAACAAGTTCCATGTCCATGTAGAAGTGCTCATTGCCACTGATTATCCTTTCAAACGAATTGCTGGTACCATAGATAAGCACCACATCTGTAGGGTTTTTTCAATCACCACACTTCAGCAAATAGGGGGTATGACTGTCATCCAATCATCGTTGCGCTTCGGGAAGAAGCTCGTGATGAGGCAACGACATGCCTTGCAGACCATTCCATGTTCCCGAGGATCAAGATTTCTTTCAGATTCTACACGCACTAGCAGCGCCACAATGCCTCTTAAAGGTACTGCTGATCCCTGCGCGGAGAGGTTGCCAGATGCGGGTTCGAAGAAGAAACGCGAAGCTTCCAAGACAGCTGCCTACTTGGATCTCGCCAAGGCCAAGCTTTCTGCTTTGGTCGTGACAACTACAGCGGCTGGCTTTGTAGCAGCAGGTGGACCGCTCAGTGAACAAGCAGCGCTCGCCGGGTGTTGCATCGTGGGCACAGCACTATGTTCATCCTCGGCAGCTGCAATGAATCAAATATTTGAAATTGATCGTGATTCCAAAATGAAACGAACCCAGAAACGTCCTTTGGTGGTAAATACTCTTAGTGTTCAAGAGGCCAAAACGGCGGCTGCGGTTTGGGGTATTTCGGGAACTTCTATCCTTGCTTTTGGAACTGATCCAGTAACAGCCTCTTTGGGTTTGGCGAATATTGGTCTGTATGCTGGACTTTATACCTACATGAAACCGAGATCAATCTACAACACCTGGGTTGGGGCAGTAGTTGGAGCGATACCACCCGTAATGGGCTGGACAGCTGCTACTGGTGGCTCTCTGCTGGATTTGGATGCCATGATTCTTGGTACTACTCTATACTTGTGGCAGATGCCACATTTTTTTGCTCTCAGCTACATGCACCGAGTCGATTACAAGCGAGGTGGATTTGCCATGCTTCCTGTGCTGGAATCAGATGGTGAACGAACGTCTCAAGTTATTCTTCGCTACGCTGCCTACCTCTCGACGGTCCCATTGATTGCCACAGCCTGCGATGTTACCAGCAGCATGTTTGCTTTGGAAGGGATTGCATTGAACTCGTATGCTCTCTATGTTGCCAACAACTTCAGACAAGAGCGTACCAATGCAAACGCAAGGAAGGTGTTCTTGACGTCGCTCTGGTATCTTCCTACTTGGCTCGTCCTGTTCTTGATCCATTCCAAGGTGTGGGACGAAGAAAAAGACCGTGACGTTGTCCGAGACAAACTTTCAGCTGCCATTCATGCAGTCCGTGAACAAGGAAAGCAGGCATGTATCCACGAGCATGTAGTTGCCAATAACTCTTCCGCGTCGGGAGAGGAGGCGTGCCCAGTCACTCTTTCTAAGAATATTACTAAGGGTGTGATTGCTGGTGCCGCAACTTCCACTGTCCAGACTGTTCAAGGAGCGGGCTCCAAGAAGGAAATGTAGAAAACAACCACGCGCCGCCATAAGCTATCACATCGTATTGTAATTTGATCTAGAATAAAAATGACATCTATTTTGTTGCTGTTGCGACATGCTACTGTGCTGGTTGGCTATCTTCTAGATCTTCATCGCTGCCAAAGACTTCAGACAAGACAAAGCCAATCAAATCCCACTCGTGTTCGTAGAATGGAAAGGTCATTAGCAAAAAGAAAGCAGTATCTTCGTCCATGGGGCCAAACTTTGTCGCCGTCAAAAAAGAATGCAGTAGTTCAGGATCCATGAATGCCATGTAAGTGTCACAGTTTTCGTGTTCGTCGTCGTCCTCTTGTTCTCCTTCGTTTCCTTGCGCTTGCGGTGCAGCTCCAGAATTTTCGCTCAATTTTGCCCGTTTACTTGGATTTCGGTCATTTGCCGGACTTGTGCTGGGTGGGTTTTGTTTCTTTGTCTCGGCATTTACTTCATGCACTACCTCTTCGTCGTCGTCAATATCACTCCACAAATCATCCTCATTTTCCTCCTCTTCCATCATTTGATCATTTATGCATACTGCAGCGGTATCAGTACAGGGAGCGTCCCCCGGTGACCATACTTGTACGACGAGAAGATTTTGCCGTTCTGAGTAACTATTTTCAGCCATTTCAATGGAATACCATATTTGTGTTCCCTTTGTGGTTCCTTCGCGTGGCTTTTGTTCGTATCGAAATGTCAATTGAAGATCCTTCCCGTTGTCAATTGTGACTACGGCATCATTCGCAACGTATTTCCGCGTTCGTACTCGACTGCAAGATGTGACTTGAATCATGGACTTGAACTGCCGTATTTGAGATTTCATCTTTTCGAAAGCTTCAAATGGGTCCGTTTCGAACATGTCGCGGGTATCTTCAGTTTCTTTCATCAACAGCGCCTCCTCGTGAATTACTCGAAGTACGTCACTCGCGATCTGACTTCCATCCTGGGTCTGGATAAAGCTTTTTATCGCCGAGCGCACAGAAGGTCTAAGATTAGACATGCTGTAGGTGATGGATAGAAGTGAGGTTGTTTGTTTTGCATCTCATTTTTTCAGAATCGATGGCCAGCGCGCGCGAACGACGCGAGTTGCATCGTTCTGTCTGTTCTCGTGCGGATTCAAAACGAAGGACGAAGATTTCCGTTGCCAGCTTTGGAAACGGTCCCAAAATTGAAGATGAAGACTACCTTGTTGGGAATCGTTGTGGCGTTGTTGTCCGCATCCGGGGTCAGTGCCTCGGGAGCGGTAGAGCTCACCAAAGAAAACTTTGATGAAAAGACTAGCGGAAAGAACGCTTTCGTCAAGTTCCTTGCGCCTTGGGTAAGTTCAGTTTGATAATCTCGGAAGTATTCTAGTTTTGAAGAATTGGAGTCTCTATCTCGAGATTACCGCTAGGTTAGATGCAACGTTTCCGCATCTCTGTCACTTTGATGTGTTGGTTATTGTGGTTCCACATTTTCTTCGAGCTCGAGTAATTCAGTTGAGTTTAACAAACTGCTGAACGATGTTTTCCTCACGGTCTGCTCTCTTTACTGCAAACTATAGTGAGGTCACTGTAAATCCATGAAGCCCGATTGGGACAAGTTGGGAGAGGAGTACGCAGCCTCCTCTTCCGTCGTGATTGGCGACGCAGATTGTACAGAGAGCGGAGAAGCATTGTGTACACAATTCGAAGTCCGTGGTTGTAAGTAGTTTCACATGACCCCATTGTTGATTGAAGTGTTGACATTATTGGTTCTGATATTGTGCGTCATGATTTGCAGATCCCACCATCAAATACTTTGTTGATGGGGATAAAAAGGGAGAAGATTATTCAGGAGGCAGAGACTATGACTCCTTGAAAAAGTTCGTGGAGGATAAGTTGGAGGTCAAGTGTGATGTTAAGGATCCCACTGAATGCTCCGATAAGGAAAAGAAATACATTACCAAGATGGAGGCAAAATCCTCCGCCGATCGCGTGGCGCAGATTGCACGTCTTGAAAAGATGGCTGGAGACAAGATGAAGGGCGACTTGAAGCAATGGCTTCATCAAAGACTACACATCTTGCGGGCACTTGAAGCTTAGTTCTTCAGATGCGGCGTGCCTACAGTTTTAATTTGGACATCGAAGAGCATGATACCTCAGTATACAGTTTCCAAAGAGGGCTGTAAATTTCTTGGAGAAGCGCGTGTTGCGTCGCGCTGTGTGAGACGGATGACGTTGCTTTTATCGTTGATGGAAGAGTACGACCATGAGCAGAAAGTAACTGAAAGATTTCACACACCATGTAATTGGCAGCTGCTGTGAGGAGGTGTGCATTGGGGCTTCGTGACAAAGCGTTTAATCTAAACTATAGCATATCAACATTGAAAACCAAACTTTCAACATACAGGGCTGACTACGGTTAGGTACCGGTACTGTGACACCCTGGTACCGGTATGTGGTTCATATTGTTTTGCTCATCTCTCATCTGACTCACGGGTGAAATATTCGGGACTCATTTGGTTCGTACTCACCCGTTTGAAATGTTCGAAAGCGGAAGTTCGACCATCACACATCACCTCAAACTAAACAACTTTTCCTCGTTTTGTCCATAGTTGAGCAACCATCTGCGCTGGGAATAACTGGCCAACCGAATAGAATATGGAGCCAATAAGACGGATAACGAGGAGTTTTCCTGTTGTCGTCCTAGCCTCGATGCTTTTGTGTCAGTTTACCCCGCAAGGATGGTCCTTTCCATTGGCGACATCTACCCCACGAAGGTTGCCATCCAGTTCTACGTTCGCTACGTCGACAGAGGCAGTAGACGATTCGGATGTAATAGACTCTATCAATCTGGGTCGATCCGACCTAGCAAAGTATTTTGACTTTCCACTTGACGATTGGCAACTGCAAGCTGGGGGAGAAATTCTGAAGGGCAACAACATTATCGTTTGTGCACCGACAGGAGCGGGCAAGACCGTGTGTGGTGAAATGGCTCTTCATGCAGCATATGATAAAGACTTAGATGGAGTCTATACGACGCCTCTCAAGGCACTGTCGAACCAGAAGTATTCAGAGTGAGTTCAATCCATATGGAAAAGGGAAAAGGTAGATGTATACCAATTCCTCAAATACTATTGTTCTGATACTTTACATCTTAGGCTTCGTCAGCGGTTTGGTGCTAAACATGTTGGGTTATCTACAGGAGATGTTTCCATCAATCGCCAGGAAGCCCGATTGACAGTCATGACAACGGAAGTATACAGGAATATTGCTTGGCGATCTACTGGGTCTGTTGATCCTGCCATAGAAACAGGAAGCAAAACAAATGATCTCAAGAAGAATGCTGTGGTAGTTTTGGACGAGCTTCACTACATGGGAATTCCTGGTAGAGGTGGAGTTTGGGAGGAGTGTATCATCACTTCACCACCGCACACGCAGATCATTGGTCTGTCGGCAACATTACCGAATGCTCGTCAGCTTGCAGATTGGATGGAAGCAGTAACAGGAAGAAAGACGATTCTAATTGATGCACCAGGTGCACGTCCCGTACCTCTAAAGTACATGTTCGCTACTAAGGAAGGGATGTACCCATTGTTTCGAAATCCTGATGCAGGTCCCGGCTCTAAGCTTGGCCTTCTTGGATACCGAGATGATGGGATATCACGAAGCATGGATTCGGACTCAAACTCTTCAAAGAAGGGCGTTCTCACTGATTTGGATGACCTAATCGACGAGAAACTCCCTCGAGGATTGCAAACAAATCCAGCCCTGGAAAAGTTGGCGCAAAGAAGGATGCAACGGGTAAACGAAGCCTTGGACAGGCAACGGGAAAAGTACAGCCGTGTTATTGATGATTTTGATGATTGGGACTTCAATGGTGGCAGAGGCAGAGGACGACGCTCGTCTGGTAATCGAAGAATGTCAAATCGTGAAGAACGAAGGGAAAAAGACCGCTTGTTGAAACGGGAAATGAGAAAATCTGTTCCCTCGCTCCCTGTGTTGCTCGAGAGACTGAAGGAAAAGGACTTGCTGCCGGCAATTTTTTTCATCTTTTCCCGAGCAGGATGCGACCAGGCAGCTGATAATATCCGAAGCGCATACAAGAGACCCCGTGATCCATTTCGGGATGTTGACTTTGATTCTGCAGAAGAAGAATCCAACATCAAGAAGAAAAACAAAAAGAAAAATCCCAAGAAAAAGAGTTCGAAGGACGGTATTGTGGAAGATGGCGATGGAAGGAAATTCCGAATGTCCAGCGATAATATCAACGAAGGCACATTCATTTCATTGATGGAAGAAAGACAAGCAATAATCAGTGAAGATGATTTAGCATCGGCGTCCCCGTTTCGCTCTGAGAACTGGAACTTCTACAGTACTTCAGGACTTCTTACGTCGAAAGAGGTGGAAACCGTAGCAAGACGCGTCGCTCAGTTCAATGCTGATAATGAAGAGATTGCGTTTGCAGAAAATGTGATCGAACAGTTACTGTTCGGAGTTGGTTCGCACCACGCAGGCATGCTCCCTGCTCACAAAGCATTTGTCGAAACACTTTTCCGAGCGAATCTGATGAAGGCCTGCTTTGCAACGGAGACTTTAGCGGCAGGAATCAACATGCCTGCTCGTACCACGGTTGTTTGCGCTCTAGCAAAACGTGATGGGAGCGGAATGAACCTCCTTGAGACTTCTAACATGCTTCAAATGGCCGGGCGAGCAGGTCGTCGTGGTATGGATACATCTGGTACATGTGTGATTGTAGCAACTCCATTTGAAAGCCACGATGCTGCAGCTCTGATCCTAACGAACCCTATCAAGCCAATAACATCCCAGTTTAGACCATCCTATTCATTGGCGGTTAATCTCATATCCAGGGGGGGAGGAAAGCTGGACGTTGCTAAGCAGCTTGTTAGTAAGTCATTCGCCATGTGGGAGAAGCAGCAAACGGAGAAAAAAATGACAAAGGCTTCGGAGGAAGGAGGTCTTGGAAACATTGTTCGTTCAGTTGCAGAGGATCGTTTCTTGTCCCTGCTGATGGAGGTATTGGAAAGAAATGTGAAGATGAAAAATGCGAAGCACGACGCTGCGTACTTGGAATTCATAGTGGGTATTTTCAAAGACCGGGAGCGCTTGAAAAAGACGTCGAAGGAGTACGAGGCGGCTGCCCTCTCCTTGGATCTGGAAGAGACAACTTTGGGCTGTCTCGAGTTGGAACTGAAGGATGCCATTGCAGCAAATCCGGCACTTGCTGATGGCGAGTCCGCAACCGAGGACGAAAAATATATTTTGGAACAAGTCGACGAGCAGCGCAAAAGAGTTGACAAAGTAGGAAAGCGAGTGCGAAAGCATGTCTTCGCGTCGCTAGCTACAATTGGAAATGGACTCATGGTGGAAAATGACGAAGACTGTCAGCTCCTAAGTGACACTTTCAAGTCGATGAAGCCAGGCAACCCAGAGCTTCAAGCGGATGATTTTGTCAGCTTGGCAAAGTCGGGACTAGTTGTCAAGAGAAAACTCCGAAAGCTTGCAAAGACTATGCCTGACGCAACTCCAGAGTCGCTTCTGCTGGAAGCTTCCAATGTCATTGAAATTAAGGACGGAACCTGGGACGACATGCTTGCCATCACAAAAACACTGACGGCGTTTGGATGCCTGGAAACTACAAATAAGACAAAGTCTGACGTGTTTGACGACATTGAAGATCAAGTGTTTGACGTAACTCCTGCCGGGATAGATGTTGGTATGTTGAGTTTTGAAAACTCACTGTGGGGCTTTGTCGCAATGGGCGGTACATGGGATGTGATGGGAATGTCTGCGTCGTATGATGAGTTCAATTCAGCCATGACATCGTTTGAAAGAGACATGGACTTCTATGATGATGATGAATCAAAGAAAGAAGAGTCATCATCGATGTCAGCCCCTCACATTGAAGCTGAGGATCTTGTGAATCAACTGCTAAATCTTTCGCCTTCTGAGATGGCTGGATATGTCAGCTGTTTAGTATGCGGGGACACTGCAAGATCAAGTCTATCTTCAATGGATGTATTCACAAGGCTTGTGCCCCGGCAGCAAAGATCAATTCAGGTCCTTCTTGACTCCACCGATCGATTAATGGATGTGCAACGACAATTCGAAGTAGACGCAAAAGCTTCCAATTGCCAATTTGACGTCACCCATTGTGAAGTTGTCACCCAGTGGGCAGAAGGATGCACGTGGAGTGAAGCTCTAGAAATGTCTGGTGCTGCACCAGGGGACTTGACCAGAATTATTGGTCGAGCATTGGATGCAGTCCGACAGTTTGGAAGTCTCAAGTACACTCCCTTGCGCAAATCAGATACAGGCGACGCGATTGTCGATCCCTTTTCTCGAGGCATCCACCCAGAGCTTCGTCGAAAGTGCCGTGAAGCAGCCAAGGCTATGAACCGGTACCCTGTCAAGGATCCATTGCCATTTGAAGCCGAAGCGGAGGACGAACCATCTGAAGACGAGGAAGAAACTGGAGATACCGAGTCCAGCGATGATTCAATAGAGGAGTCAAACGAATCTCTTGTCGATGACGAAGGACAAGTTGATTTGGATGACGTCGACAGCCGAACAGTATAAAATGCTAAAAGATAATGATAAACCAAAGCAACAAAAGCAATCAATCACGTTTGTTATGTTACGCCATCCTCGAGTTCCGAAAACTTGAAGAAATAAACAACGCCTGCAAGTATGAGCGTAAAGAGAATGAATGCAAATTGCCGATATTCATACATTGCAGCCATCATTGTGCTGAGCTTTCCACCAGAATTGCTTTGCTTGAAGCTTGCCAGCTGCCTGAGTTCATCATCTCCCAGCAAATCCGCCGAGTCTTGCGAATGATACTCTTCTTGCATTGGAATGACAGCTGCTAGTTTTGATTTCCACCTGGATGCCAATGGTGGTGCCGACGAGGTTGTAGTTGTCGACGATTGCGAAAGGTCGGGCCGTTTCAATATCTTGTTCACTTGATTGGACGCCATATTCTTCATCCAGCTTCCCAGTTCCCTTGGCGTTGCCGGTAGCGATAATGAGATTGAAGATATTGAAGTTTGTTCTTCGTTCGACTGTGAATTTGTTTCCATTTGATTCTCCGCATCGGCCATGTCTGCCAAAAATCGATGCATTTTTGGTTTTTCTTCTTTGGCTAACTGCTTCTTCGACGTTTTGGAATTGGACTTCTTTGGCTTCTTCGTTTTCTGTGCTGCACCATCCTCAACTTTGCTCTTACGAATCATTGACAGGATTGGATCATCTTCTTCGTCTCCTTCGTCGTTCCAACTATCACTATCGCTGGAACTGTCCGATGCAACACTACTTTCATCATCCACTTCACATGTTTCAGGTGATGCTGGCCTTGCGGTCATCGCGTCTGTCACTACTGACATCATAAGCGGCCTCGTTTTCTTTGGAGCCGTTTCTATTGGACTATCATTGACTATCAATGGGATGTCTTCCTCTTCCGTCAAGCTGCTCTTGAATGATGCTTCATCACTTTGTGGTTTGGATGGGATTGACGGCGTTTCAGAAGCCTCATTTTGAAAGATTCGCTTGTCGATTAATGACCATGGCGTTGGAGTATCTGATGAATTTTCTTCTTTCTTTATTCTTCTTTCACCATTTCGTTGTTGTTCCTCTTCTTGTTTCTCTCCTTTCACGTTAAACTCCTCCTTGTGAATGTAATCGTCCTTGGCTGCCATCTCATCCAAGGAAGGTAGCTTTTTGGCGGCGTCTCTCGCCTGCTCTCGCATCTTGGAAGCAAAACCTTTCAGGTTATTAAGATTATTCATTCCGAATTGTTGGTAATTACCAGACTTCATGATGATAGTGATGGTTCAGTGTGGAAAGGGATTGGCGATATTCATATCAATGACTCTTGCTTTTGTTTCGTGTTGGTTTGTCTGTTCCAATTTCGGATCGAATTGGTCGTGATCACTAAGGCCTAAGAAAGTACACCCAACAACCAAAACACCCAAAAGATCACGAAGATCGCAAAGAAAATCTGAAGATGAAGTTCCGAGACGATGAACAGATTCTAAACTATCATGATGCAGTTGTCTATGGATCCGACCTACGAATCGTTCAAAGTGAAACAGATTGGTTGAATGATTCCTGTATTCAGTTCTACATGAACGTGCTGCAGTACTCTGGTGAAAACAACCACCAGAACCACCGCTTTGTGGATCCGTCCGTGATTTCCTTCTTTGTGCATCAGTGCACAGACCAAGACGATATAGAAGATTTCAAAAAAGGATTTGATCTTCCTGTAGATGGGAAATTGTTTATTCCAGTCAATGACACCATGAGATTGTGTGCGAATTGGATGGTCCCAAACAGCGGCACCCATTGGAGCCTCCTTGCGATTGTATTCGAGAAAGGAGTTGGGGTCGCTGCTTGGCACTTTGACTCTATGCGATCCAGCGGGAATATCAATGCTGCTGGAGATATTCTAAACAAGTTATCATTAGTGTTTCCTTCCATTCCAGTACTTCTTGAAAGGACAAAACTACCAGTCCAAGCCAAAGCACCCCAACAGACCAATTGCAACGACTGTGGAGTACACACCCTCGTTACAGCCATGTTAGTATCTACAATGAATGGATCAAATCTAGCCATACATGAAGAACGGATACAGGAGTATGTAAAATCCAATCCAAGCTTTTGTAAGGAAATGCGCGCCACAATAGCGAGTGAAATGATCCAGCAAGCTTCGCTGAAATGAAATATTCGGATGATGATTCTTAACAATACAGTAGGAGGTGCAAGTACTGTAGCTTATTGTCATCGTCTGTGGAAGAAAGTTCCCACCGGTATTGTACTGGTCCCTGGTAGCTGCCAGAATTGTTCCTACCGGTATTGTACCGTTTACCATACCGATGTTGTACGGTACGGTCCGGAACGCCTGGTACTGTGCAGTTTAAAAAAGGTTGATCGGGAACGAGTGGTCCGTCTTTGGGCTAATTCAGCACATTGTGCGTTCCTTAAACAGAATTCATTCCACGACCATCGCGCTTTGGATGCGACATAAAATCCACGGGTACATAACGTACCAGGTACCAACACGACATTGTAACCCAGTTTCGCACAATGGAGAACAGAAAAAAGTATTTCTACGAGTAAACAGAACTCTTGATTGCACCCATTTAATGGGAGTGCATGTTATGTTTCACTGTCAAGATTGAAACCACTTATAGAAACGTTAAATGTCCTATGTGTCCGGTCTTTATTCTTTGGCACACCAGATATCCATATGATTGATTGTATTTATGCAGAAATTCAGCCGATTTCTTACAGCGGACATATCAAACAATCAGCACGGACAATTTTCGCCCTGTCATTTCCAGTAGTTTGATAGACGTGCAAGTTTACGAGGCTCAATTCCACCACTCCCCAACTGGAAACTGGACGAGCCACAGTATCACCCAATAAAATCAAACTCATCCAGTTGCACAGCTCATTGATTCATTCATTGATTCATTGATTCATTCATTCATTCAATATCGATATAATGAGTTCTGAGAAGATTAATGATACCTCTCCCAAATTAGAGGAAAGAAAGTCTGAAGCATCAGAGGAGAAGGAAGACTGCGATGATGATTGCCAGTACATCTTTCCCCAGCGTCTCATGTCTGTTTTAGCAGATGAAGCCAACCATGAATCCATCTGCTGGCTTCCCCATGGGCGTGCATTCATCATTCGCAACCGCAGTTTGTTTGCGGAAAAGGTTATGCCTCGCTTCTTCCCAAGAAAGTCCAAATACAGTAGTTTTACCAGAAAGTTGAATCGATGGTACGTAGAGTTCTAATCGTGTCGTTTTGGGTTCTTGGAATAGCTCAAAAGATTCATTCTCACCAACGCTCGCACTACTCTACTCTAAATTACAGGAACTTTACCCGTGTCTCTAGTGGCCCAGAACTCGGGGCGTACTACCACGAGTTTTTCCTTCGTGATCAGCCCCACCTTGCCGCCCAAATGTTCTGCAAGAATGCACGGACCAAGATTGCCATGGCGTCTGCAGAACCAGAACCCACTGCTCTCCACAACCAGCTTTCCAAAGGCCAAGCTGCTGCTCCTGCTCCTGAGCCATCGAGGTTGGATTCTTCTCATGTTTTGATGGACACTACTGCGGATCCAACTCTCCAATTGCTCCTCAGTCAACAAATGAACATGTGCAATCAGCTCAACATTCAACAACGTCTTGCCCAATTGCAACTTCATCATAACAATGTACACAAACCAATGGCTGGTATTGGTCTCAACAACAATAGCAATATGAACAACAGCATGAATAACAATCTCAACAACAATGCGGCGGCATTGAATTTGTTGATGGGCACTCAAAATGCCAGCACGTCGCCAGTCCTTGGCACATGGCTCCAAAACGAAATTATGGCCCAAAAACAACAGCAAGAACGCATGCTGCAATTGCGACAGCTCACTGCTGTCAACCTGCGTCAACAAAGCAGCAAGCCCTCTGCCAAGAAGAACTTCCGAGCCTCTGCTGCCTAAGAAGTTTGCGCCGAAGTTTTTGGAATCAATCTTTGTGTTGGTACTCAATAGTAAAACATTTTACGAGTATTTGCTGAATGAGGATGATTCCATTGTCAAAAGCATCGCTTCAAGACTGATTAGCAGATCCTTTAGATTTTGATAATATAAAAAAGTACTGTACACAATAAAAATTATGCATTTATCATAGTAATAATTACTAAATTGGATAATATTTTTAAAAAAGCAAATTCTAGTTATGGAGAGGCTAGCTAAAGTTGTTTTATACTGTAGTACCTATTATCATAGTCGCGGAGTTGGTCTGGAAGATGGATATGGAGTAGAGTGCATCTTCGGACGAGCCGAGGTGCCCCCTTGGCCCTTACCTCGAAGCTCTCCTCCACGATATACTAATGACTAATGATACCCCCTTTCACCACCATGCTGTACCTTCCTTATCTTCTCCCGGCGAATTCTTGAATGCTTATCGTGCATGCTTATCAGTGGCACAGAGGAGTAACAGGGACCCCATCGGCCTCTCCAGCGATGGACGATGAGTAACGATACGTTTCCCGTTTCGGTTCTCATAATGTATGTTACTGCTCGCTCATACACTGTAGCTATGTGTGTTACTGCCTGCTTCAACCTCCTGATGGTAGGACAACATGTTCTACCGCAAATGGCTGACAATCCATGCGAATCGTCCACTTTAGCTTGACCTGATCGCGAAGCATGGCTTGCACCAGATCAAATACACTTTTCTGCAACAACTCATCGTGAGTTAGTTCCTTGGCGTCAATGCCGCCGCACAGTGTTTGGATGATAGCTGGAGAAGCAAGGACCTCCCTAGGACAGGGAATGGTACTACTACTAGATGTTGATGATTCCAAATGCAGTGTGACTGGTCGATAGATTTCTTCTTGCTGGTCCTCAGAGGTGATGATCATGCCTTGTACAAAGCAAGTCGGTGATTCCAAACACTTGGATGCGTTCAGGAGCTTTCCAGAAATCTCAATATCCACAAGACAGGCAAGCGAGGTAATGCTTTTCTGTAACTTATACCCCGGGCTTTCAGTTTCCAGAGTCGATGGCATCGAATGATGCTGTTGTTGTTGTAGATCATCAGTCTTCCATTCCCAATTCACTATGGAATTCTTGGAGGGTACCAAGACAACTTCTCCCACGACAGAATTGTCTCCCAACACTTCACTCTGCTTTCGAGTAAACACATTGTTGATCATTAGCACCTTGTTGGTGTCTCTTGCTTCTCGGAGATCATTCGCAAACCGATTATCTGTATCCACAAGAGTCATGGTCAAATCTGGCTTCGCAGAGTCTGCCACTGTGGCAAATCCAACGACACTTTTGGTGACGCTCGAGGTGAGTCGCCTTGTCTTGACTGCTGTGAACTGCTGCAATTCGTGTTGCTTGACTCGAATGGATATATTGGACATGAGACCAGTAGAAACTTGTAGTTCATTCAAGTGTCGAAATCGACAAGGGAGTGGCGAAAGTCTCCCACCATTGCCCATCTCTCGCGTGTAGTGTTCCTTCAAATCTTGAATTCGTTGGGCAGGTGTTTGCATTGAATCTGGAATCCGACTGGTTTCTCTGTCATTAAAAGCGTACCATTTCATTCCTGGTTCTTCATTTTTGTGGGAATACGTAAAGTAATAGGTGATGTTTTCACCTTGTTGTTGTTGTCGTTGTTGCAAAGACTTTTGCAGACTGACGCCATTGAATCGGACCACATCTCCTGGTTCCAATCGTGTGATTTCTACGCGAGAAAGCTCTGCAGATCCCCAAAGTACGACACAAGCAGTTTCTCCGGAAGAAAGTGAGTGGTCAGTGATCCAGAGTTCCACTTTGCTGGACGACTTTGCATACTGGAGAGGAGGACTCTTGACGATGGAAGCCACGGCACCCAACAAATCGACCGGACGGTCATCTGATGGGAGTTTTTGTAAGGAGAGAACATCTATGGCCTCTCGAATTGTACAAGGAGAAGAAGACATCACCTATGCTATTCGAGGTTTTCTGGATCATCGGTCGGAGAAAGGTAGCGAATCTTTTTGAGTGAATGAAATCAACTTGATCTTTGATGATGATGACTACTACGATATGTATTCGATTGTTGGCTGAAAACAGACCCAAAAAACGACTAGTCCGACGCGACAGCGTGTCACACAAATTATCAACCAATAATTGAAATCATCTTCGCCTCCGTCCAGCTGCGGGACACATCATAGACTTCAAATTTCAAAAGGGAAGGGTGTGACAAGTACCAGGTAGTCGATTTCGAGCCACAGCTCACCAATACCGGCGTATCAAGCACTTAAGAGTATTACACATCAACGCAATAGAGCTAGAGAGTGAGAGAGAGAGAGAGAGAGGCATACACTTCCATTTGTTAAAAGTGAGAGAGAGAGAGAGAGAGAGAGTGGATCGTCATGACCAATTACGCCTATTTAGAAGATAACCTCAGTGCCGGCCATGCCTTTGAGAAGCCATCTACTAGCATCCTAGACAAATCCTCAAGGACTGGATCATCTGAAAGCTCAACGAGGCAAAGTGATCAATCTTTGAGTGAAGCAGCGCCATTGATGAACTATCAGAGCTACGATACGTTTGGACACCCACAGCCCGCCTTGTTGAAAGGACCACTCGACGATGATGAGCCCGCCAAACCTCGGATGATTCGAATCATCTCGCCCGAGCGACCGAGTTTCATCCATCGATTATGCTGCTGCGTGATCGATAGAGATCGAACTGAAGAGAGGCTGAAGGAGGTTGACTTGGTGGCTTGGACAACCGTTCTGGTGATCTCCGTTATCATTGCCATTGTGGCGTATTTCTTTCACGTCAATACCACTGACTCGACTTCCCCGTCGTGGCATTTTGATTACAATGTCTACATATCCAGGACGGGAAGTTTCCAGAGATCCAGTAGAGTTGCTCTCATTGCGCAAGTGGCATCGAGCCGGCAGCTGGAGAACTTTTCATTGATTTCCAGCCGACCCAATCGGGCCTACGCCAGATTTTGGGGACAGGACTATGTGCGGTACAATGCTGGTCGAGGACATGTGTACCAAAGGTCTTGTTTTGACAAGGTGCACGTTCTGAATGAAGTATTGGATCAACAGCTCATGGACGACGACGACGAAACTACGATACATCGATGGTCCCGACGACCCTATGAAGTCAAATACGATTCTCTCGTTATCATACCACCCGACTCGATCATTATGGATTTGGATACAGATATCATTGAGTCGATATTACCAAGTGACAAACTGGTGGCGATTGCGGGATGGGATGACAATCCCATGATTGATTCCCACTCTGGTATTGTTGTATTCAATCTGAATCACAAATATGCCAGCGCCGTTGCCAAGCTCTGGCGAGAATTCATTCTCCCCATCCATGAAACTTGTGGCGCCAACAATGATTTGGAAATTCTCATCACTGCCATTTATTCCGTCATGGACAGTAGTACTGAAGATATTGAAGACTTGATTCAATCAGTAAAAGAAACTCGAAATGGCTATACCGCAGATCAATTGATCAAGTCACTTGAGCCATCGGTGCCAGGATATCGGGCGAAATATTTAGAAAAGACATGGATGGAATCCATCGGCACTCTTCAACAGACTGTTGCTTCTGTTTGTTATAGGTTCTATCCAAAGTGTGAGGTGCTGTGAGAAGAGTGTATTTGATTCTGAGATTGATTGATTCAATCATTCATTCTGCAGAAGGGTGAATGCAGATATCCAAGACTACACGTATGTTCGGAAGAATGGGTCCGACTGGATTCTACAAGGTCAAGTGGACGGAAGATATGGTTCTCCAAGAGAACTGATAGAGAGATATGTGCCTCATTTGCGATGGATCGCGTGATTAGTATTTTGAAGTTTGAGTATGAGGAATGGCCATGAGTGGCAGGCAGCTAGCTATTTGCATGAAGATATCGCAGTTAGGGCAATTATGCAGATGGACGACTAGCATAAAGAACTTTGAATATAAAATACCTTTGCCTGTTTGAGATAGCTGACTATGAAATTTATCCCTCGCAACAGATTTAAAATTACATCGACGAACCGCTTGGGTCCACCATCTTCCAGAATTCAAAATGGGATGATAGTATCGCGACATTGATGCCGCCTTATAAAGACATCACTGGAAGCCATGTGAACCTTGTCCACATCTCCATCGCATTAGCCTTTCTTTGGACTCGGCGACAAGATAGTCGTCTCTTATCGCTGAGTTCAGCTATGAAAAGAAACTATCGTAACTATGTTCTCTCAGCAATGCATCAAGCTCGTGTTGAATCAGTACCGTAAGGGCTCGTATATCCTGCTTATTCTCCATAGTTCTGACCGGAAGCCAGTGCACCTTCAGATAGCCCAAATTATTGAATAAATCCCAATCAAGTCGCGCAGGTGTCCCAGAATCCTTGCCATCCTTCAGCCCACCATCCTCAAGATAGTATAATATTACGCTTGCTCCCTTGGGAAGAAAAGTGGCAGTGACTGCACCTCCACCACAGCCAGAAATGAATATCGACGCTTTGCCGGCAACTGCAACTTGTTCTTCCAATGACAAGTCTTTTAGAACGTATGACTCTACCGATACATATTGCGGATTGAAACTCTTTTGCAGTAAATCAATTTGTTTGGTGAAATCAATCTGTCGTGATGGAATATTTGATGACATGGCGGAAAATATAACTCGGAAAGGTGGCTTGTGATTGTACTCAATCGGCAGACCCATATTGCTCACCATATAATTCCGGAAATCATACAGCATTCCACCCCTTACATTTTTAGCTGGTTATTGACAACTTGAATGATAACGCCATTATTTAAAAAAGAAACTCTTACCTTCCATGGTTGTGTGTTGTCGCATAGTCGTCCATTTCCCATCCATGAAGCTTGGTGACTCCATGATCAGTCAGTGCACCAATGCCTGCCAAGCCATGTCGTGCACAGATTAAATTTGATTTTCCAGCTTCTTTGGGGAGGAAGCTAAACGTTTCAGTGGTGCTCAGCTCATGTATCGGATTAGCTCCCATCATTAGGGGCAAAAACTTCTTGTGCATGTGGGCACAATCTTCGCGCTTTTCATCTTTCCAATCACAACTTGCCCACAATCCTCTTTCCTCGCCCTTCAATACATATCGCATCATTAGGAGCTCACTCTTGGTTTCCAGTTGGAACATAGTGAGAAGCGTATAAATTGGTAGAAAGTCGTCCCAAACAAGGTGACCTGGATTTGCTCCATTCATTGAATGAAACGGAATGAGAGTAACATTTGGAGGCAATTCGTAGTACGCAGTAGAGACACCCGCATCAATTGTCCGTATTTCTGGAAACCATTCCAATCGTGGATATCCACTTTTTCTATTTCCCCATTTCAAATTGATACCTCCTAATGACACTGTGTTTGAATGGTTCAAAGATTGCTTCAAGTAAGATTGTGAAACATCAATGAACGGTCGCTGAATACGAAGTTGAAGTGAGTATGGGGTTGACAATCGTGCAATCTGATCACCAATTTGAAGTACTAACCTTTTCGAGATGCGAGTACAGTGCTTCTTCTTCAGGAGACTGAAAGACAACATAGTCTTTTGTGGTAGTATCGAAGCAGAACAGGTTGAACTTGCAGGAGCGATACATCCATGAAATCCCGTCAACGTAATTTTCTCCGACGCAATGTGGCAGGGTATGGAGTCCCTTCTCTTCTTTATAGTATATTGAATACCCATTGAAAGTCCCATCAGCATTTGGATCCAGCTTCATTTGATGCCTTGGTTTCCGCTTGACTGGTTTTGGTATTCTTGGCTCATTCTTGAAGGAACCAAAGCTGGCACTAGCGTAACTTTGGGATAATGATTGATTTACCTCCAAGTATTTTGTGTGAAAAAAGTTCATCACAATCACAAAAATTAGAAGTTGAGTCAGAACAAGTACTGTTCCTATTATCATGAACGGTGAACATGATAGACCCATGCCTGCTATGGCAATTGAGGAGCAAAGCTGATATCGTTTGGTTTTTGATTGTCTCCTGCCTTTGTCAAACGTCTGGTTGGTCCAATGAGTCAAATTGATAGTTTGTGAGCTAAATATAAACTGAATTCAAATAGGTTGAATGAACTAGCAACAAGCTACGGATGAGCTGTACTGTACATATCTCTATATGTCTGTTAACTCTTTACTCTAGATTCTTCACAAACAATATTGTTTCCATCCATGACATTACCTCGATTTCACTTTGATCTGAATCCGACTAGATCGTGCACTGACTCTCTTCCGTTTTTGGTGTCGCGCAATAGCCGAGGCAAGTGCCGTTCGTCCCTCACTTCCGCCACCACCACTTGTTCGGGCCGCCAGCATGGGTTGGATGATTCGTCGAGTGTCGGAAGGTCGGGGTACTACCCCAAACATGAGACGATTTCGGTTGCTATCCCCGTCATTGCCTTCATTGTTCTCTACAGATGATTGTTCTGTCGAAGAGGATGATGTCGTCAAATTTTTCTCTTCCAATCGAAAAGTAGAAGTTAGAATGGAGAAAATGGATTTCTTGGCCGCAGTCAATTCACGAATGAGCTTTTGTCGTTGCTGAATCGAGGGACCTGGTAATAAGACCAGTGCCGCACTCGACTTGACTAGATTGTCAGCATTGGCGAGTCCATCCAGCCAAAGAGACAACCTTGGTAGATGTTTCTCTCGCAGTATCTTGACGAGTTTCGCAAGTGTAGACTTGGCTTTGACCTTGCGTTCTGCCTCCTCGGAATTGGTATCATGTCCCAGCATTCCCTCCTCATCTTCTTGTTCCTTTTCTGTCTTGCGCATATCAATCTCCAATTCCCCTCCCTGCAAGCCTCCAGCAGCCGATTGCATGGCCGCCAATGTTCGATCCACTGCCAATAGATGATGCGCTGGGTGACTGGCCATGAGTTCTTGCTCTTTTTCTTCTAATTCTTCATCTCCATCTTCCCAATCAATGTCGTCGTCGTCATCCTCATGATCGTCGCCCTCGTCATGGGTGTTATTCTCAACATGAACTTGAGATTTATTGATTTCATTGCAATTTTGTAGCTCCTCGACCGACGACTCTTTTCTTGCTGGATCTTTCTTGTCTTGCTGTTGCCCCATGCGGGGCACTACAATCTCCAAGGCTTCGTGACATTTCGAAATTCTTGTTTGCAGACGTTTCAATTCCTTGTTTCCATATTTGAGTGCCAAATCTCGAATTGTCCTCCAATCGACCATGTTCCGATGAAGAATGTTGGATGCCGCTGTTGTGGTTGTTGTATAATCATTAGTACTGCTACTACTACCGGTAATTGTAGCACCGTTCTCTCGCAATAACAATTCTTCGTCACTAGAAATAGTAGGAAGTGGCGGACATTGTTGTCGCAATCGAGTCGCCGCCACGGCAAGTTTTGGATATAGTTTGCCGTACCCTTGCTCGTGCAACTTGTGGAGCAGTCTCAGAGCTTCGTGTTGCAATAGTGCCAACGAGATGGAACTGGAATCATTTTCTTGTTGTTGCTGCTGTTGTGGTATTGTAGCCATTTGAACAATCCAGTCCGCAAGATTGGATCCCATTTGCAAATGAAACCGACAATCCTTGGACTTGCGCAACAGAATTCCGGAAAGATAGAGTGCTGCTCTTCTCACCTGAAGTTTGGTGGGAGTTTCCTGTTGCAAGTCCCACAAATATAGAAAACAAGCGTATGGAACAGATGGTCGTTCTTTTTTGTTCGTTTGTTGGGTATTGTTGTTGTTGTTGTTGTTGTTGCTGCTTTGAGAAGATGAAGTTAATGAACCTTGTTGATCCTGTAATTCCTGGATTGAAGATGACGATGCTGTCTGATAGGCGAATCGTTTCACCGAATCGATCCATGAGTCAATGGCCAGCTTTTGTTTCTCTAATCGCTTCCATTGTGCCTGTTCTTTCGAAGTTCGAGCTATATCAGCGGCAGTTTGCACTCGATTCATCAACTGATCATGAATCATCGTCGAAGCATCATTTTGTGCAGTGCCATGAGCATTGCCATTATTATTATTGTTATCAATTATAGCACCACTGTTATTGTACTTTTGATATTCTGCTTCATGATCCAAGAAAGGTTGATGACAATGGTGCTGCAAGACTTTGGCAGAGGCGCGAATGGCTTCCACAAAGCCAGGAATGACATCCATGGGAACGTTTGGAATGGTGGGATATTCAATGCCGCCAGCATTAGTTCGTTGACGCTTCTTGGCCCGTTTTATCGCTGGTTGGGTCGATGAATATGCCATGGTGGTGAATGGGGAGAATGTGTTGCCTGTCAACAGATAATCCTCTTTTCTAAACTCAACACCACAAACTTTTGTTGTCGTACCGGTATAGACAAATAGTATTAATACCGGTATGTTTCAAAATTGAGGCCACGTCTGTCCGACATTGCGATCACCTGATTGATTATTGTTTTATGCATATTATATAAAACACAACATTAGTTTACTGTTACTGTGGTGTATCAGTATAACAGCAAGACCAATAGTTCTACAGTAACTTCCACTCGCTCGCTCACTCACTCACTTTATCCGATCCAACTTAGTAGTCATCATGGTCCAAGGCTTGGGCTTTTTGAGCAAGAAATCATGGCACACCAAAAACTTGAACAATCAAGAAAAGGTTTGGATGGCCGAACAAAAGAAACTGGCGGAGGAACAAAAGACCAAGGAACTAGCCAAACAGATCCAACAAGAACGTGAACAAGATGAAATGGACAAGATTGCTGGCAAGAAATCGACCATGGATCGTGGAATTGATTGGATGTACCAACACACGGCGGGTGCCAGTGAACTTGCCAAGGAAGATGAGGCCAAGAAACAAGAAGAATTCTTAATGGGCAAGGAATTTGTAGCCGAAGCAGGTGCTGCTATGGGGGACTTTGATAATGGGGATCAAACACAAGGAATTCACAATGTAATGGCTCACCAAGAAGAACAAGAAGCAGCAGCACTGCAGCAGCAGCAACAAAAACAACAACGACAAGAGGATGGACCAGCTGAAGGTCATTACGGACCAAGTGTCAAGGATCGAAACGAATCCTTTCGACAGCGTTTGGAAGATCCCATGTTTGCTGTTTCGAGACAAAGACATGATATTCTTCAAAAGCATGAACATACCAAGGAATTGTATGATAAGGTAGGAGGACCCGTTACTTTGACGAGGAAGCGGGACGAGAAGGAGGATGACGAGAAGGAGGATAGAGCCAAGAGCCGAAAGAAGGAGAAAAAAAGAAAACGACACAACGACGACGAAGAAGGTGATGATAATGATCGAAGACGTCGAAAGAAGAGTGATCGCAAAAAGCACAAGAAATCTAGTCGTCATCGTCGATCCTCTCGAAAAAGATCTCTTTCGAGAAGTCGGTCCAGAAGTCCATCTAGTGCTTCAGCAGATAGTGGGAGAAGTAGCAATCGAGAGCATCGCCGGGATCGCCATGATGATCGACGTCGCCACGATGATCGTCGCAGAGATGAGCGTCGTCCTCGCAGCACAAGTCGCGATCGGGATCAGAAGCGAGGAGACTATGGTGATGAAGATCGTGGTCACTACAGTAGGGATCACAGATCTTCACATCGTCGTCGGGATGATTACAATGATGATCGCTCTCCCAACGAAAGACCTAGGGGGCGAGATTACGTCCGGAATGACCGATATGATGGAGAAAGCAGGAGAAGATCCTACAAAAGTGGTGACAACAACAATAATGATGACTTTGATGGACGTCGTCGCCATTATCGGAATGATAAAGACGATCGAAAGCATGTTGCCTCCAGTCGACGGTCAACGGATTACAACGCGTCCAAGCCAACTCCACCATCGGCAGAAGCAGCAGCGACTAGAGACAATCCAGAAGGAAATTCGGGCAGTAGCAGTAGTAAAAGACCACCAGACGACAGCAAGTATGGACTGCAAGGTTCCAGGAAGAAGCAGTTAAACTCTTCGGATTTGGGTCCCAACCAAGACTTGTTGAGGAAAAAGAGGCTTGCCCAAGAAGCGGAACGTCAACGAATCAAAGAATTGGCTTCCACCCGCCGCAGAAGAACAGGAGATGAAAGAGCCCGGGCAATTGAGGAGATGCAACAAGATGCAATCCGGAAGGAAGAACGGGCTCGAATAGTTGCCAGCAATCGAACTAAGGGAGGCGACCAAGACGAACACCTGGCGAATAAGGGCGGGGCTTCCTTTATTACCGAAATGACCAAGGCAACTCATGGTATCGGTGGGGATGTTTCGTTGTCGGAACGATTGCGACAAAATCGGCATACCAATCAACGATCTCACGAGTCGTTCCTTTAAAGCTACAGTAACTGAAACTAGAAGCTCGCCGCGTATTGGATTGTCTTTGTTTTCATGAATGATTTGAATGATTTATCTTTAGCAGGAGTTCTAATAATTTTATCATATGTCAGTACTACGCTTGTCCTTCTTGTTTTCACCAAAACGATTCGATAGGAGCGCTAACAAGAGTCCCATATACAAGAGCCCCGTCATAATGCGAAGGAAGGCCTTGGATCCAGGATAGACTGACACTTGGTATCCCCAAATGGCATCATGACTCACAACCAAGACATCGGCCGTACCATCACCACTCACTTCGGCAATAATGGGGCGTTCAATGGAGGTTTGAGCGAATTCGGCCGATGCCAGCACGCCACCATTCTTGACCGATAGTACCGCCATGCTGTTCTCACCAGCCAGTAAAATTGGTTGAATTGCTGGACCCACATTCACCGATGGGACTCGTATCAACAAAGCATTATTATCATCGTCCTCATCGTCATCTTCATCCTTCTCGGCAGACCAAGTGGGAAAGTTTCCAGAATACTGGCTTCCAATCGTTGTCCATTCGCGACGACCTGATCGCCCTTGGAGTCGATGGACCATGCCATTGTTGAGGGCCACAATAATGTCCCGAGTATTCTTGCGGCCTGCCAAAGACTCTACAATAATCGGTGCAGTATTGTCCAGGGACATGAGACTTGGCAGATTAGACACATGGTTCATGTCACCACTGCCACGAGTGGCAGTGCATAGAGAAGTTGAAAAGAGCTCTTCATTGGCTGGCACACCTGACAATGCCATGGCGTGGCAAATGCGTGGAGCATTTTTCAAGAGCTCTTTCGAGTTGCCCTTATCTTTGAGCTCTCTTCGTTTGTTCAGGACCTTCTCTTGGACATTCTTGACCCAATTAGAATTACTGGGAATATCGCCCTTGGCATCCAAGAGAATTTGCACCTGGTCCATGATTCCATCATTATTCAAGTCGGTATACACAGTCTCTTCCAAGAGGGACATATGACAGATTGGCGATCCATTCTTGAGTGATCTAACCTGCAAACCCTTTCGGGATTGTATGACGAGTGCATTGGGTCGACCAAGGATTGGATGGAGGTGTTTCGAATGTCGCTTTCTCTTGTGGTTGTTGCGGTGGTCAGTATATTTAGAATCTTCCTTTCTGGTGCTGTGTTTAACGGAATGATGACTCCTGTGGTGATCTCTTCGCTTCAAGTCCAAATGAACAGCTTGTACACTGGCATCACGTGGACCCCAGAATGAAAATGGAAGAAGTTCCTTCATGTGGTGTTTGAGAATGTTATTGCACGTGGGCAAGGCTTCCACAATTCCCATGGGATCATCTGAATCCTTGAGGGAGGGTATCCTTGATCGACGTCGAGCAAATGAAGTGGTCCCTCTGGTCAGTGGCAGCATCATTTCCATATCGCCAAACAATTCCGCATTGATAAAGTTGTCCCATATTACCTTGCCAGTCAGAGCATCTATTGTGAGCACAAAGGAGTCACTTCCAGTCTTGTAAAGCCCATCCACGTAGTAGAATCCACTAATGACAATCATTCCGTTCGGAGCACTCGCATGGTGACTGGATTGCGCATCCAAAAATTCAATGCTGTATTCTTCCCACAAGGTAAAGTCGGTAACCTTGACACTTGATGGAAGAATGTTTACATTCCACTGTTCTTTGAGTTGCAAATTAGGCTTTAAGTATCGATTGCGTCGCCTGTTTTCCATTTCCTGTGCAACTTGGTCCGCTGGAATCATTAGGCTGTGCAAAGTGACATCTCCATTGGACCACAGTGTAATCAAACTTGGAAGTCCCCCACCAGGAGTCAACATGAATTCCTTGGGATTGTTTTCTTGTTCCTCCGAACCAGCATAATTCAGAATATCGCAAGGGGTGTCGGCAAAACATCGTTCGTCATCTGGACATTCGGAAGATTGTCCTCCGGGACAGGGAGTCCCACACCTTTCCGTCGCATCATGCCAGTCCTTTCCACAAAAGTAGTGACGATTGGTGTCGTTAATGTCATTGTTATTGACGGCATCGGGATGAACACCCTTCTTCACGCCTGCTTCAGGATCGGCAATGACGAGATGTGCTGAAGTCAGCTGCACGGGATACGCATTAGTATCTGTAGAAAAAGTGACGGGTTCTGATGTAAATAGACTCTTTGGTTGAAAAGGTGCCATAAACGTTCCCACATTCCGTTGGTGGAGTTTCTTCAAGTCAAGAATTTCCAATACCCATTCCTTGTTGTTATCAGGCTTTCGCTTGACCATGGCGAGTGCTTCATTGACTCCATCGCCATCCACATCCATTGGTGTCAACACCGAGGCCGTTGTTTTGGCGTCTCGAGGAAGGAAAAAGGCAAGACTGACGGTGGCACTCAGGGATTCCGAGCTTTCATCGTACGCCATTCGTGAAAGAATCACGAGAAGGATCACCGCAAAAATGTCGCGATTGCGAATCATACTCACCAAATTGTGGCAGCGAAATGCAGCTGGATTTGAGGGCTGAAGTTGTGTTCTGTTGTATTAGTCAATTGATGGATCTCCTCCTTTCCTCTCATCCAACAAAACTATTGCCTGCATCCTTCCATCCATGGATTTCCAATGAAATCGGACTACTTCGACCGAAATGGAACTACATATGTCTTCTGTCCAATGAATCAATCAATCAATCGTCAAACATTCGTTCCACACGGCACGGGTTCATCCCTTTCACCTTGGCTGTTGGCTCTGAAGGTACCAGTACCAGGGACTGATCAAGGCGTTGTTACAAGTACCCGAGTACCGGCAATGAATGTACCCAACAATCGAAATAGTCGATTAGCTCAAAGGAAGAGCCCACCCCAGCCAGGCACAGATGGCCATACTAGGGCATGACCAAAGGGATTGCAACCACGTTGTATCTTGTTTTCATCTGTCCCTGTTGTTGTGGACCCGGCTAGTACTCGTACGCAATTTGCTCCCCACAAAGAACTGTACCATGCATGTCATTTGGTGCTCCCAAAACAGGAACCCATTTTCCGCAGGTCTACATGTACCGGTACCGGTACACGTGTACCTGTGCAATAAACAGTAACACAAGATTGATTCCAAGGTGTTCCTGCGGCCAAGAGATATTATCGTTTCAATGCGTGATTGGAGATAGATTCTATTTCGTCGGCCCTTCTAGCTTGTGTCCAGAGCGCTTACTTAACGAGGATATTTTCGAAATCTGGTCAAGGCCGATTACACATTGTTCTCCTTTTTCCAAAGTAGATTACCGGTAGAAGCACATCAGGATTGATACAAAAAGCAGCGTTTTCATTCAAGTCCAGTAAAAAATTTTGGCAAGCCGCTGCTTCATACAAAACATGATGATCGTTATTCTTCGCTCCTTGCGCTTGGCAATCGCAAGCGTTTGTCTACTTGCTGTCGTTGCAGACCAGGCTTATAATGATCGACCATCATTCAGTGAATTTGAGGTTGAATTGTGTGACATGCCATGCCAAAATAATGGCAACTGCGTTGCGTTTGACTTGGACAATGACGGAGTTTTGGATCCTCAGTGCCTCTGCAACACGACTTTTCAAGGAGACTTATGCGAGACTCCGCGATCTTGTTCCCTTGCGTGCGAGAATGGCGGGACGTGCAGCTTGGGAGATGCTTGGTGGCTTATGGGAGAAGATGGTTCGTTGGGATTTATAAAGGAAATACTCTATGGGTGCTCTTTTGAGGGCGTGAGATGCGAATTTCCGCCTCCCGGCATGGATGAACGCTGCGATTGTTCTTTTGGAACAAACGGGCCTCTGTGTGAGAATACATGCGATGTTGCCTGTGAAAATGGTGGTGAATGTATCTTCGCGGGATCGGAACAACGTTGCCGGTGTGCTGAAAATTTCTATGGCGATCAATGTGAGAATGTATGCAGCAAGAGCTGCTTGAACGATGGTTTTTGCCTTGGATACCCTTCCAGCGAAGCCGCTGGTGGATTTGAAGAACAATGCCTTTGTCGTGCTGGATTTGAAGGCGAGCAATGCGAGACTGTAACGCCATGCTCAATTTCGTGCCAGAATGAAGGTGTTTGCAAGTTTTCGGAGCAGCTATTGTTTCAAGAGAATGGAGAGGACGGATTCATTGTTGAGTACTGGCAATCCATCATGGAACGGTGCATCTTCAGAGGCCTTCCTATTTCCGAGTGCTTTCGACTCCAACAAGAAGAAGTGGCACCTTATTGTGACTGCCCTCCCACCACATTTGGAAATACATGTGAAATCACTTGCGATCTTGATTGCCAAAATGGTTCTACTTGTCAGTTCCACAACGCACAAAACCAGTTTTGCTCCTGTGAGACTGGCTTTGCCGGTGATTTGTGCCAGTTCGAATGTACAATGGGCTGTGTCAACGGTGGGTGCAACGCTAACGCTACCGCTCAATGGTGCCAGTGCTCACCCTTCTATGACGGGGATTTTTGTGAGACTGAACGAACTTGTGACAAGACTTGTTTTAACGATGGAAAATGTGAATTCGACGAGGGATTCCGAGTCTACAGTGAAATGTACTACAAGACGTGCATACATCAAAGCTTTAGTAACTGCCCCGGACCCGATGACATCCAAAGATGCGCCTGTGCCAAAGACTTTGTTGGAAGTGAGTGCAGTCAGCCGTGTCCGTGCCAAAACGAGGGTAGATGTATCACGAGGTATTATAGCCGCAAGCTGGAAGATATCGAAGGCGGCAACTATTACAACAACGGCGACGACCAGCCGTACTTTGAAGATAATATTGACGATGAATTCGGCGGTGACGGTGAGGACTACTACTGCCAATGTCCCTTTGGTTACGGTGGTAAGTGCGCCCAATTTTTCTTTACCTTAACAAGAAAGGAATGTTCTTCTGATTTTATGAACTACGTCTTCCACAGGTCGGGATTGCCAACTCAAGATGGGTTCAGATAATTGCGATTTCAATTGCGAGAATGGGGTGAGTGATCCTTTTCAGATTAGAACTTTGCGAATAGATATACGACGCTCACCTTTCTTCTACTTCTATTAGGGATATTGCCGAGACTACGCTTTCAACGACTGTGTCTGCCCTGAAGGGTTCACTGGAAGGTCTTGTGAGACCGAGATTGATGCATGTAACAACCAGTGCAAAAATGGTGGTGTTTGTACTACTGATGCTATCAGTACTCAAGGTCTTGGGAACCGAGCTCTGCAGGGTACCACGCCAACCTTTGCCCCGACTTCTGCCCCAATAATACCGCGACTATTCTCTGGATCTTGCTCTTGTCCAGAAGGCTATTCCGGTGACTTTTGTGAACGCAAGGCTTGCGGATCTGGTTACTGCAGTCACGGTGGATCTTGTATCGAGCTACCCTCAGGTCAAACAACTTCCGCTGGAGACAACTATGTTTGCGATTGCTCCACATCGACCTTGGAGGAAACTGTCGGTATTGGACGCAATTGCGACGCTATTGTGTACTCCACTTGCCCAATACGCAGCAACGTGAATCCAAATGAAGCATGGTCGTGCGCAGGCTACGGAAAATGCTTCAAGGAAGGTCAAGATTCAATTCCTCAGTGCTCCTGCGACACGACTTTCACCGGGCCTAGATGTGAATTCGACATCAACGATCCCAAGGACGTGGCATGGAGTGAATGCAGTTTGGAGTGTTCTAACGGCGGTGTCTGTCTGAAGGGAGCCACCAAACCAATTGCCGATATCTTTATTCCATTCACTGAAGGAACCAAGAAGTCTGGCCTCTTTGACTATCAGACACGACCTGACTTTGAATATTGCTACTGTCCCGATGGGTTCTTTGGTGTGCAGTGCGATAAGCAATATGATATTTGTGGCAATCGTGAGCACATTTGCTTCCATGGATCGAAATGTGAGAATGATGGCGGCGCATGGGGTTGCGATTGCAGAGGGACAGAAAGTGCGGGGCTATATTGTCAGTATAAAGCAACTGACGATTGCGGCGATAGTAATTTGGACACCTTCTGTACGAATGAGGCAACTTGTACCTTCGACTTCAGCTCCGATGCATTGTAAGTGTTTATGTCTTGTCATCGAAAACTGCGAAATTATCCATGCTAACGGGTGAGTTGTGCACTGATATTTTAGGTGTACATGTGTGGAAGGTTGGGAAGGTACCAAGTGCGAAACCGAAGTCAAACTGGCGGCTCCTTCAGGTGGTGAAGGTGATTATTCGAGTGCCCCCACTTTGGCTGGAACTTTGCTTTCTGTCTTGTCCGTTGCATTGTTGAGCGCTATCGCTTAGTCGCCTGGAAGGAGCGCTAACCGATACACATTCAATCCTTTTGAGGATTTGCTGCCTATCAAAGACATATTTTGACCAGATCATTTATTTTAGATTGATTTGGCACATTTTTCATTGTGTCTGATGGGGTTAGTTAATACTTTCATTTTCTACCAAGTAGGTCTTACAGCCAACAGTATTCAAGTAATTGCATATTGGTACCTGGTACTTCTACAGCGTAGCACCGACGTAACGGCACAGCATCTGAATCCTACCAGGTACCTGGAATGCGTACTGTACCCTTCAAACGCAACGTAGACAGTAGCAAAAGTTCGATCACATTGACTACAGTGGGCATACGGTCGAAGGCCGTACGGCCTTCGCCAATAGTCATTGCCCTCCTACGATAGAGAGGCAAGGACAGCTCAGTGGTTTGATTTTGATACGTCTATTATCAATATCAATTCATTTTTCTTTCCCACCATCACCCACCCTGTTGGGCACCATCGCCTTTCTTCTATGTGGCGATGGTGCCCAGTAGGCAAGCAGGTCTCAGAAATCCTGTTTACGGGATTCCTGAGATTGGTCTTCCGGGTCCCCCTATTGACCCGGAAGACCAGCTTCACACCCACCACAACCCACCGGTCAGACTCCATGCAGACAGATCCAAGACGAACACCAAGCGGAAGGCGCCAGAAGGCTATCTCAGATAGACTAGTTTAGCCCCCAATCCACGATCGATGGGGAGTCAGAGGCTCTGTACGTCGTCAGGTCTCCCTGACTTGATTGTGATGCGCTTACTTAACGAAGTGATTTCAGAACATGTCGAACTGAGTTTGTACTTATGGTGGACGCGATCGAAATCTGTTTTCGTGGGGTTGTCCTCCTTTTTCAAACCGAAAACACAAACATTGGTGGATTGTAGATCCAACCGCATTGTTTTCAAGTCAAGCCTAATTCTGGCAACACGCTTGAAGCTACAAGATGATTATTATCCCTCAGTCCTCGCGATTGGCGATTGCAAGTCTTTGCTTGTTTGCTGTCTTTGCAGACCAAGAGTTTCCGCCGGGTCGCCCACCATCAATCGGGGGTGAATTTGAGGTTGAATTGTGTGACATGCCATGCCAAAATAATGGCAAATGCGTTGCGTTTGACTCGGACAATGACGGATTCTTGGATCCCCAGTGCCTCTGCAACACAACTTTTCAAGGAGATTTATGCGAGACTCCACGATCTTGTTCCCTTGCGTGCGAGAATGGCGGGACGTGCAGCTCGGGAGATGCGTGGTGGCTTATGCTAGCAGATGATCGTTCTTTGCCTCTCCTACAAGAAATACTCTACCGATGCTCCATTGAAGGCGGCAAATGCGAGATTCCGTTTTCTGACCAGAGTGGACGCTGCGTTTGTCCTTTTGGAACAAACGGGCCTCTTTGTGAGAATACATGTAACTTGTCCTGCCAAAATGGTGGGGAATGTATCTTCTCGGGATCGGAACAACGTTGCCGTTGTGCTGACAATTTCTATGGTGACCAATGTGAGAATGTATGCAGCAAGGGCTGTTTGAACGATGGAGTTTGCCTTGCCTACCCTTCCAGCGATGTCGCTGGTGGGTTTGAAGAGCAATGCATTTGTCGTGCCGGATTTGAAGGCGAGCAATGCGAGACTGTAACAGCATGCCCTATGTCGTGCCAGAATGAAGGTGCTTGCAAGTTTAGGGAATCATGGATATTTGAAGAAAATCGAGAGGACGGATTCATTTTGCAGTACTGGCAATCCATGATTGAACGGTGCACCGTCCGAAACCTTCCTATTGCCGATTGCCTTCGAGTCGAAGAACCCACGCCGTATTGTGACTGCCCTCCCACCACATTTGGAAACACATGTGGAATCACTTGCGATCTTGATTGCCAAAATGGTTCTACTTGTCAGTTCAACGGGCGAGACAAGTTTTGTCCCTGTGAAATCGGCTTTGCCGGTGACTTGTGCCAGTTCGAATGTACTAAGGGCTGTGTCAATGGTGCGTGCAATGCCGATGCCACCGGTCAATGGTGCCAGTGCTCACCCTTCTTTGACGGGGATCTTTGTGAGACTGAACGAGCTTGTGACAAGACTTGTTTTAACGATGGAAAATGCGAATTCCTCGAGGGATTCCGAGAATACAATGAAAAGTACTTTGAGGAGTGCGTCCGTCAAAACTTTGGTGGTTGCCCCGGACCCGAGGATGTCCAACGATGCGCTTGTACCGATGGCTTTGTTGGAAATGATTGCAGCCAGCCGTGTCCGTGTCAAAACGGGGGTACATGTCGCGGCAACTACTACAACCGCAAGCTGGAAGATGACGAAGGAGAGTATATCGACGATCAGCTGTATTATGAAGAAAATGAAGAAGAAGAGCAGGACGATGCCATTGGCTATTTCTGTCAATGTCCCTTTGGTCACTACGGTAAGTTAGCCCAATGATGCTTCTAGAAACAACCGGTGAATATCCTTCTGACTCCTATGAACTCTATCTCTTCTACAGGTCAAAATTGCCAGTTCAAGTTTGATTCCGAGAGCTGTGAACTAACTTGCGAGAATGGGGTAAGTGGTTCTTTTCAGACTAGCCGTTTATAAAAACATATTACATGAAACTCACCTTGTGCTCTAATTGAATTAGGGATATTGTACACAAGATTTTGCCTGGAACGAAGATGGATCCGTCCCGGACGATGATCAGTTTGGTAACAGCTACAACAACAACAACAACAACAATCAAAACCAAAACTATTACGACTACAACAACGCTCAAACCGGTCGACAGAGCAACAACAACAACAACTCTGGCGGCGCGACTACTGATGTGCCGCCAACTGTTCAACCGCCGTTCGAATACTGCACGTGCCCTGAAGGATTCACTGGAACGTCCTGTGAGACCCAAATCGACGCTTGTCACAACCAGTGCAAAAATGGTGGTGTTTGCGTCACCGACAACATCAGTACTCAAGATCTTGGGAACCGAGCTCTGCAGGTTGCCACATCTTCCCCGACTTCTGCCCCAGTAAGACGGACACAGGATGCCCCGACTACTCCTCCAATATTTGCCCCGACTACTTCCCCAACAAGACCGACACTATTCCCTGGTTCTTGCTCTTGTCCAGAAGGCTATTCCGGTGACTTGTGCGAACGCAAGACTTGCGGATCTGGCTACTGTAGCCACGGTGGATCTTGTATCGAGCTACCCTCAGGTCAAACAACTCTCGCTGGAGACGACTATGTTTGCGATTGCTCCACATCGACCTTGGAGGAAACTGTCGGTATTGGACGCAATTGCGACGCTATTGTGTACTCCACTTGTTCTTTTTTCAGCAGCAAGATGAATCCAAATGAAGCATGGTCGTGCGCAGGCTACGGAAAATGCTTCAAGGAAGGTCAAGATTCAATTCCTCAGTGCTCCTGCGACACGACTTTCACCGGGCCTAGATGTGAATTCGACATCAACGATCCCAAGGACGTGGCATGGAGTGAATGCAGTTTGGAGTGTTCTAACGGCGGTGTCTGTCTGAAGGGAGCCACCAAACCAATTGCCGATATCTTTATTCCATTCACTGAAGGAACCAAGAAGTCTGGCCTCTTTGACTATCAGACACCTGACTTTGAATATTGCTACTGTCCCGATGGGTTCTTTGGTGTGCAGTGCGATAAGCAATATGATATTTGTGGCAATCGTGAGCACATTTGCTTCCATGGATCGAAATGTAAGAATGATAGTGGCGCATGGGGTTGCGATTGCAGAGGGACAGAAAGTGCGGGGTTATATTGTCAGTATAAAGCAACTGACGATTGCGGCGATAGTAATTTGGACACCTTCTGTACGAATGAAGCTGCCTGTACCCTCGACTCCAGCTCCGATGCATTGTAAGTGTTTATGTCTTGTCATCGAAAACTGCGAAATTATCCATGCTAACGTGTAGACTTGTGCGATGATATTTTAGGTGTACATGTGTGGAAGGATGGGAAGGTACCAAGTGCGAAATCGAGGTCAAATTGGCAGCTCCTTCAGGTGGTGAAGGTGGTTGGTCGAGTGCCCCCACTTTGGCTGGAACTTTGCTTTCTGTCTTGTCCGTTGCACTGTTGAGCGTTGCCCTGGTTACTATCGCTTAGTCACTTGGAAGAGGAGCCAACGGATACAAACTAGTGCGATCCTAGTGAAAACATGCCACAATCCCCACGAAGGCACTTAGGATTTGTACGTCAAACATAAACTTAAGGATAATTTGGCACATTTTTTTATAGTCTCTAATGGTTGCTAAAATTTTAAAAGGTACCCTTCAACACAGAATAATGTACAAATGAAACGAGCTGGGTAGCCTCAACTGCAATGAATAGAGGCACTTCGAGCAAAAGCCCCCTCATGATTGGGGACGAAGCAACTTGAATTGCATACTACAAACGATAGCATGTCCATTCCTGGGATTTGATCACGAGGACAAGCTCCCCTGGTCATTGACAAGAATGAAAACATAAATCCCAAACATCACAGAACAAGTCGAGAAAAAGAGAACGGAATCTAAAGAGTTGGTGAAGGAATCGCCACGTCGCCTCGGTAGACTAATGTCTCGAACCAAGTCTGCACGACTCTCCATTTTGTCCCCTGGTAATAAACTGTGAGCTGAACTAACAGAGTACTTATGAAAAACAAGAGCTAAAGGAAGACTCACCTAGATAACCATTGGCCACCACGGAAAAGGCCACATCGTCGATGCTTTGCAAGAACCCTAGGGCAGCGAAGTTCAGAAATAGGTTAAGCACCTCATCTGTGATCAAAAGCAGAATGAAATTCAGAATCAAGCTATATAATCCATCAGCAAACCGAAGCAAGAAACTCAAGGCGAACTTGGAGGGGGTAGCGTATGGTGACGTCTCCAGGATGTCTTGATCATACTTCACATTCGCGATTCGAGCAAATACAGCCATTAAATCTTCCTGCATAGCCACAGCAACTGGGATCAAGAAGAATTGGGTAACTCTGGTCAATGTGCTCTTGCCATTAAAGTTCCCTTGACTGGTGATAGTACAGTGCCACGAGTTAGCTAGAGAACCGGACGTTGTGTTGACGGACTATCAGCCGATTGACATACCTTCGACTATACAAGTCAAAACCCAATAGTCTATTGCACGCCAATAACAAAATATTCCGTCTGATTAGAAGCAAAACAGCAAATGATTCGCCAATACCTCAGTGATCCACTCACGTAAACAACATCAGCTTCAAAAAGACCACATATAGAGCAAACATGAACGTTCTTCCAAATACGGGCGCCACAAAGATCAAACTGTAGACATCCTCCCCAAGTTCTTGTCTCTCATCAATGTCTGGAGGACGAATCGTCGAGGTGTGCCAGGTAAGTTTAGGCCTGTCGTCATCGTCGAAAATATCGCCACCTTCCATTGGGAATGCCTTCCGAGTATTATTTTGGAGGGAATGCAAGAAACGGATGAATAAAATAAATTATGGCAAGGAATGAAAAGGTCAATCAATCGTAAAAAACCAAGCTGGCAACACCAGAAATAGATCCATCATCTTACCATATTATTTACAGTCTGTTGCTAACGGCTTTATAAGAGGCGCAGCGAGTTGCCTCGTCAAAGCTTCTATTGAATTAGGATGGATGATATTGGTTGCAAAGTTGGATGGAAAGCAGTTTTGAAAGCGACAAAAGAACAGAGATAGTGCTGTTTTGGCTCGGATGATTGATTGATTCATTCATTCCATCCAACAAAATTAAATAAACGATCTTGATTTTTTTAAACAGCTACAAACTGTACTGTAGTTTACACAAGTGATTAATCGCTTAGTCTGCAACAATCGTCGTCTTGGTAGTATTCCCCAGAAGGCCATCGTCACTATCACTATCCGAGTCGACAGTCATCTTGTTTCCTGCGGTACTGCTGCTGGTTGGATTTAACTTTTGTTCCACGTCGTAGTCCACTTCGGTCAGCCGTTCGTCCGCTTCATGCTTTTCGTCTTCCGTCATGGCCCTTCTGGTAATGTTCATGATATGATTTCTCTTCTTGATTGGTCTACCGCCAGACAATTGGACTCTCGAAGAAATGGGCAGGTAGCTTGCGACCTCGGCCGCCGCATCGATCCAGATACAATAGTTGACATGTGGCGTATCTTCCTCCTTGAGGGGGAGAACATCCAATTCGTATTTTTGAATGGGTCTGAATTGATTATCTTCTTCCCCAGTAGGAGTAAACAATTGACAGGTCATGCGGGAGTTGGCATCTTTGCGATTGACATTGGCCACAAAGGCCTTGTCAATCTTCTCATCTGGCACCTTATCAATAACAACATGTGTATACGGGCTGGCCCAGTGTTCGATATTGGGTAGAAAGGGCATTTCGCAAACTGGCTTGAGATTTCTCTTGCTGGGATGCTTCGTGACAGCCTTTTTGCATTCTTGAAACGTTTTGGTAATGGCCGATCCTGAACGGCGCTGAGAAACTTCTTGGTGTCGAACCTCCAAGTCTCTTGACTGCTCTTCCTTGGTCTTGACCAATGACTTGAAGTCGTGAACCTTTCGACTGTAATCGTTGGACAAATAAGTAGTTTTCTTCATCCAGCTCTGCATCTTCTCGTTCAAGACACGCGAAAAGTTCTTTCTCTTGGAAGCTGACGCCACTGGTGACTTTGTTTTTTCCAAAAACCCGGAGGGAGACTTGCCAGCCAGAGCCAACCGCGCTGTCGCTCGGGCATAATCTCTGCGCTTTTTGAGTTGTTCTGCTGCGGTGTCGCCCAAGGATCCCTTCCAATTCAGTAGATTTTCATCTGCCGCATCCAGTGTCGGTGTCCCCGTGGATGGAGGTTTGTAAAGTTGAGGGTCCATGGCAGATGGTGCCAATGGAACTCCCAAATCTCGTTCCGAATGTAGTTTCCAACTATAGTTGACTTCCACCGCATTGAGAGGTTTGTATTGACTGATATCATGCAAGACACCTTCCAATCCATTTCCAACAAAGCAAGGTCCTACAGGCGGTCGTGGAGGAGCGTTGCGAAATTTAAAATCAATTTGAAACCCCTGTGCTCTCTGTGCAAACAAGTCTTGGAATTTAGATTTCTTTGCTGGCGGAGGGGGCGCTCCTGGTGATTTGGATCGTTTACGATCTCCTCCAGCTTGTTTACCCAAAATCTTAAGGGCGTGCTCTTTTCGTTTTCGTTCTTTTTCTCTTTGGGCATCAGATTTTTGTGATTTGGAAGCCTAGCATTAGAGCATTTTGAGGGCGGAATGGGAACAAAAGCTATTGTAAGATCACGTTCCTGTTTCAGATTGTGCATGGCAGCAAATCAAACACAATGAAAATGACAAACGATGTGATGTGATTGCCGAAAGAGCAACAAGGGCGATTTGAACTCTTTCAGTATTTCTCCATTCGATCATTATGATTGTTGTCTTCAATCTTTGTCTCCGTAACATTACGAAAGAGCTCACCTTTCTTCTTTCACGACGCTCGGCCTCTTCCCTCTTATGGCGGTCATCATCGTAACCTTCAGCGGGTGGCATTGTTGCAGCTCCTGTCCAAACTTGGCGTTGGTTGGCTTAAGATTATTGAGATTTTAAAAGGCGTATAGCGTATTGTATTCCAGTGGAATGAATCTAGTACCAAAATGCACTTTCTTTACTGTGCTCGTCTTGTTTCACAACTAAAGACGATGGATGTGGTTGTGTCCTGAAACAGGAGCCGATGGTGTTTGACAATGGGTTCCGGTAAGAAATCTACTTACACCCAATTTTAAGGGGAGGGGAGAACAAAAGAGGAGTCAGTCAGTCACTCGATATATCATTCAATCAACCGAGTCGACGATTCTGAAATCTAAAAATCAATCATCACCACGTCAACGAGGATTCATCAAGGATACCTACTGATACCACTGATACCACTGATACCACTGATACCACCGAAGAACAATAAGGTTGCAACACAAGGCAAACTAGCAGTCTAGTCTCGAATCTATCTACAATAGCTAACTATTATCTGAAAATAGTTCAATCATCATAATGTTATTGGATTTGCCAGAGGATGCCTTGCGTTCTGTGGCGCTTCATCTAGAAGCTCCGGACGTTCTGAGCCTTCTTTCCACCCATAAGGATTTCCAAGAGCCCATTGGGAGATCGGCTACCTTTTGGGGCCAACTCCTTGCTCGGGATTTTGATCTGGCTGCAGGCAGTATTGCAGAGAATACCAGTCCGCGTCAGGAATATCTCACAAAGGCGTATGTGGATCATTTGCCAGCAGCACGCTGGTATCCAATTCGCCGAAGGCCAGTCTCGGTCTCGGCGCGAGAAGGACACTTGGCTTGTGTTCTGCCGGGTCCAGACAATGAACAACGCGTAGTCATAACAGGAGGATACTCCGATGATGATGAAGTCTACATGATGCGAGTGCCTTCGAAAAGTAAGACAAACAACACGGTCCAGACTTGGTCCTGGGAAAGTCTCATGCCCGGAAACAGTCGACCTAGTTTTACCTATGGAGCAAGTTTGAATGCGCTCGATGCTACCACCATGAAAGATGGATGCCACGTAGCTCGTGCCATTCGATTTGGAGGCTTCCAGGCGGGTGGTTACTCCAATGAGGTCAATCAAGTCTGGCTCATGACTGCAAGATCCGAGAAAGTGGACGACAAAAATTCGCCGAATCCTCTTCCAAGGAGCACAAGTGTCTCTTGGGACTTAATCCAGACTACCAATCCTCAATGTGGGGCACCAAGGGCCTATCATACTGCAACCTTGATCGCTGGACGTTATCTAGTAATTTTGGGTGGAATGATGTGGCGAGAATCCATCCTTAGTGAGGCAATTTTGGATACCCAGACTTGGACTTGGATTACGGATCCAATCACTTCCTTTGGTAATGACAAGCCGAGTGGCCGTCATGGGCATTCGGTCATTCTAGATAGTCGAAGAAATAGATTACTACTCTTTGGTGGAGGCAGTGGAACAGATCTATTGCGATCGGGAAAAGACAACAGTGAAGTATGGGAACTCAAAATGAATGACGATTGGGAAACCAACTTGAAACTACCGTGGACTTGGTCCAAAATACACAACGATACCTGTACTCAGAGTGAGATTGATGAAGATGAAAATGAAAATGGGGAAGAAGCAGATGGAAATTCTGACACAACCATGCAAACAACAAGGTCATCACCACCGCTTCCCCCAGCCGAAGCTTTGTGCATTGGTCGGTGTCATCATGGCATCAAGGTAACCCCAAATACTGCCGTCTTTCTATTTGGGTCAGGTCGTCCGTCTACCAATGGAGTCATTGGCTACGATTTGCGCAACGATTGCTTCTTGAGGCCAAGGATTTCTGGCCCACTTCCAGTGCCACGATTCTCGGGTGTCGCAGTGTACCTGGAAAGTGAAGGCTACTTGATGACACATGGAGGATACTCCTCACAGCAGTCCGATTGTATTGATGATCTTAGTATACTCGATTTGGCACCCTTTGTGAAACGAGACTTTACAGTGTTGCCCGTGGACACTGGCCGTCGTCCGCACCGCGAGATCACGAATGATGATGCTCAGAATGGTCGAATAAATAGAGGATATGGTGGAAACATGTTTGAGCAGCATCAATTCTTGACGCAAATTGTTTCACTGACTCGCGGTGGATTGGTCACGCCTGCGGAGTTGGAAGAACTTCTGGCTAGCAGAGGCATCGTTTCCAACAATGGCGTCGTTGTTCTTGGTGAAGGGGGTGATTATGACAACGACGATGATGATGATGACGACGAGTATTACGTTGAAGAGTAGATTGGAATCAATCCATTGCAGGTCATATAATTTTGTCTTTAAATATTTTTGATTTTGGTTTATTCTACTTGGGGTTCACATAACCACCACCAGCTGGTTTCACATTCTGCTGACGGGTATCGCTGTATTCTTTCAAGAAGAATCTCCGACTCTTCAAATCCCAACTCTTTTGCCTTGGTGGGTCGCTGCCGCTGACAAAGCCAACCAAGTTTAATGTGTTGAACACCCAAATACTTCCTTGGCGACCGCCAGAACCAGCATCGTCCCAAATCTTTTGCAAAAATCCACTAGGTTTGCACCAGTCGCGTGGGACGCAACGCATTGACGTTACATCGGGCATCTTGTCCTTCTTGGTTCCAACGAAGCCCAGCGACACAAACTCTTCGCCTGGTGGCACTGGCTCCCATGCGTAGAAATGATTCTTTCCGTGAGTCACACTCCAAGCCAGGCGGAATCTTGCAGGATGTGGTAGGTACCTGTCAAGAACGTGTGGAAGCCAACTACTTCCACCGACCCAACTTCCTGTCGTATCTGTAACTTCGAGGCATAGGCGATCATGTCCATCGCGACTTGGATTATCATATCCCATTCCAGAGAAGTGACCCAACGAGACCACAATCTTGTTTTGTCTCAGCACACCTCCACCTACGGATGGTTCCCAAATGCTGATCTTTTGTCGGCTCATGCTGCCTTGACTGTTCCATACCAAGCTGAATTTCGTTGCTTTTCTGGCTTTCACCTTGATGGCTGCAAGAACTGCTTCTGGAATCTTTACAACCCTCTTTTCCTTGTCATTTGTAGGCATCGGTGGCAGTGGCATACCATTGTTAAACGCTGCAGCATTTTGAGCCATCGTGCCATCATCTTCAAATCCAACAGCCGCCTTGAATTCTTCAAGATTGATGAACCCATCTCTGTCCTTGTCCAATTCCTTCATAAAACCAAGGAGTAATACCTGGTCAAGAGGCAAACCAAGCCAAGTCAAACCACGCTTGAGATCATCGTAGTTCAGCAAACCATCTCTATTATGGTCGATGGCAGTGAAGCAATCTCTTGGATACATTCCTCTTGACTTCAGCATTGCAGTGATTCGACCCGCAGCAAGCTTGTAGTTGAGCAAGTGATGCTCGTCTGCAGTAATGAACACCTTGGACAAGGCTGTAGTTGATGGATCTCTCTGTTTTCTTCTACGATTACTCATCACTTCCACAAAGAAGTTGTATCGTCGCTCCAAGTCGTTGTCTTGCAGGGCTCGCACTAGAACACTCAATTCCTTTGGTTGATAGTTCATTGAACTATCTATGAAGCGGTAGCATGCCTGCGCAGTTGAATCTTGGAAACTCTGCGCAGGTTGGTAGCCATACGTTGAATCCAGCATAGTCCTCTCTGTTCGCAAGGCTACAGCAGTATCTCGGCCAGGGATTAGTGGCAGTGATGTCTGTTGGTGCATGATTGCACGCATACATTCTGCTTCAAACAATGATAATGCAACATAGTAACGTCCTGCCTGCACACGATTGAAGAGACGCTGCTGCAGAAGTTGCTTGAGATCTTCAAACGTGATTGGACGATGCTGCAAGTCCGGCATCTTCTCAAAGAACTTTGCACCGTCCTCACCGTCGACATCGACATCGACAGCTCTAAGTACCTCTTTCAATTCTGACATGGTTATCGTCCCTTTCTGCTTGCCGTCTGGACCAGTAAATGCCCTGCGTAACATCTTCTCTTGTGTTTGGGAGAACGATTTTCCGCCGGTTGCAACCTCTTGCAGAAGTGATCTTGAGGGACAGAAATCCATTGTTACGATCACATTCTTAAGACGCCTATGAGTTTTTGTGCTCCACGTTTTCTCATAGTAGTTTTTGGACATGTACAAATACTCTGGAAACTGAAGGCCGATGGCCTTCGAGAAAAGATAATTCTTCACTGTGAATTCGCTTGCAGGATAGAAGTATTTCTGCCAAGACGTCGATCCATACCCCTCCGGGTTTTTCTTCAACCATTTCCCGAAGTCTGGATTGAATGGTACACACAAAGACTCTACCGTCCATGGATCTGGATCTTCGCCGTCACGTGAATACTTTTTCTTCTTTGGTGCCTCATCAACGACCTCTTCTTCCTCCTCCTCCTCCTCTTCTTCTTCTTCCTCCTCCTCTTCTTCCTCCTTTGAGATTCACAAAACAATCAGCACAAAGTCAGATAACGAGCAAATAATATGTTGATATGTCTTCTAAACATAAACGTACCTGCTCTTTGAGGACCTCTTCTTCAGCCACTTGCTCCTTCTGGAGGTTCGCATCCTGGTCTTCCTCGTTTGCTTCGGCAACAGATGGTTCTCCGAAACGAGATTTGACCAAAGTTTCTGAGTTTACAAGCACCATGAGAATCTTGTCCACCACAGCCTTGTCATATTCGGATTGAATGAAGTCCTTCCGTGCGATGACACTATTTCTCAGAGTGTCCGATAGAGGAATTGGCAAAGGAATGCTGTTCTGAATGGTGAAATCCAGTCGCTCGCTCAAGATATCAACGATCTTTTGAATCTTTTCGATTCCAATCGGTGGCGTCTTCGGAGAACCAGCAGTATCTGGGAGCACAAGAGACTTGATCTTCTCAAAATCATCCGCAAAGAGTCGCTTCGAACCTCGCAACCACTCTTCAAAGCCAATGGTCCCGTCGTCTTGATTCGCTGCTCCGGTCGCTTTCTTACTTTGATTGGCGAATTCCTTCACACGCTCGGAGAAAGCAAGTTGCGTAAGTTCTCTATAGTGCCTTGTCAAGGTGTGATAAGCACGCTTCCTTGACACGTTGTCAATGCTCTGTTGACAAAGCATTCGGAACTGCATGTTCTCGCTTCTCATACCGTTGACTGTCAACCATGCGGCAACATTTATCAAAAGCTGTCGACCACTGGCGGCGGGAACAAGTGATGCCGATGCTGCCGGACTGCTAACTTGCAATGACAGCAGATCCGCGCCGTATCCACCAGCAGCTGGTTGTGGTGGCGCCTGCTGCGAAAAAGCGGTTGCTTGCTGTTTCGAGAGTTTCTGCATCTGATCATCGATGAGGCGCATGACCTCTGGGATGATGAAAAGCTCCACAGTCTGGCCCTTTCCAATTCCACGCATTCGGAATGCACCTTGAGCGTAGTCACGGAACGTCATGTCTTTTCCGAGCGTCAAGACAGCTCTTGCATCAATACCCTGGTGGATATCCATTCCAGTTGTATGAATTTGATCATAAAAGGAAAATCGCTTCTGTGGTGGGATACCTGATTGGTTCAGTCGAACAACGTTCATGCCTGATCGCATTAGAATCATCTTCCTGTCTTTGTGATCCAAGAACACCACTCCTTCGAATTTTTCTGGCAATCCATTTTTCAGCAAGTATTTCGCAACATCGAAGTTACTCATTCCTGTGATTAGTGCCCCACAGTCCAACAATGCATGGAAAGGTGGCTGGGCAGTTGCAATGCTGTCGAGAAGTTTTGTCACAGACCAGTTCACTTTCAGAATACGACTCGACATGATAGATTCACTAGTGAGGAAATTCAAAATCTGCCCGTCTACACCCTCGTCATACTGGCATTGACCAAGCTCTTCAGGCAACAAATCACTTGGCGTTCCGCTAAAGCCAAGTCGCCGACCAAACATCATCTCGCCCCCCAAATCCTGTCCGGAAGCGCTTACTTTTTCATGATGGTGCTCCATTGTTAAGGGGAAGACAAACTGATCGACGTAGTATTGAAGGACATGCGGGATGTTTTTCAACAGATTGAAGGTGATGCCCATGTGATTCTCGTCTTTGAGATCAAGAAGGTGAAGTGGCCAGATATCATCCGCACCACGGCCTCCAGCTCGTCCCATTGGTGCTCTTGCATACGCACCGAAGTCCATCAAACCGCCATCAGCATTAGTTTCATCTCCAGTTTCCTCACCCTCTCTTGGTCCACGCACTTTACCACCTGCCTCTTCGACCCACGCCTTGTATCGGAGTGCCGATGGGCGCTTGTGGTATGGTCCGAGCTCTGAATCGAGCTTTTCTCGCAATTCATTCAGAACATTCTCGAAATCTGAGAATCGTAATCCTTCGTATCGGTATGCAAGGATAGTCAATCCGATAACAATGTCTGGTTGTGAGAATTGACTTGCCCTACTTGGGATATCTTTTCCAATAAAGGGGACAGCTGCGAGTCGTCGAGCCAACGAGACGTTCTTCTCAGTACTGTTGCGAATGTCAGTCTTAGTTAGCAACCCGAAAGAGACACGATTGATCTTGCTCATGCAGTGAGGAATGAAATTTCTCAGCAAATCGTGGCTCAGATTCAACATTTTCATATATTCATCGTCGAGGGCTACCTGCACCGCAGATGCAGCAGCACGGTCCTTTAATGGTCCATTTGTCATGTATGAAAGAAGGTGCTTATCTTCCACATGGGGGAGACGCTTGTTTCTTAGGTAAAGGAGTTGCCATCTTGCCAGAAGAGGCTTCAGTTCTCTATGATAGAACGGCTTGTTCAACAATACCAAGTGAGGAGTATACTGCATGAATTTGTCCGCAATGCCTCTTTGGATCACGGATCCAACATTCTCCAAAATCGAAATTGCCTCCCTACTATCCTTGAAATCTACAGACATCTTCTTCTTCGAATAATAGAAGATGGCATCAAGAAGGTGCCATTGCATGTCCCACCGCAGACCGATACCAATTTGCGATCTAGAATAGTCAATCGGGTCCTTCAACCCAATTGGCCAATTCAGCTCACTTTTCAATGGATGCAAAATCAAATCAACCTCATCGAGCAACAAGGTCCCAGATCGAAATAGTTTGAGAATTTCTGTGCAGTAGTACACGTCTTCGGGGTTGATGTCCAGTGCCTGGATTTCAGATTGATCCCTGAAACGTCGAGCAATAGAAGAAATAGAGAAATTGCCAAAAATACCATTGTTTGCCGGCTGCCGACTTCCGCCTCTACCAAATTTATCTTCTTCCAACACCTTCATCATCTCAACGAACTTGAGCATAAAAGACTTGATACTTGTCGGTGTAGCGCATATTACAGCACGGCTGTCTCTTGCCTTGCAGAGCTTCAAGTAAAGATCCTTCGTAATGGGAGTTCCTCTTGTAAAGTGGAATGTGAAGACGGGCTTTCGAACAACAGCAGCAAACTTCTCACGCATCACTCCTCGTGAAAAGTCCAGCAGGGCATGTGGAACAACTTGAGTGACGAGAGACTGCCCATCTGCTAGCATAAGAGCAAGAAGTGGGGTCACCACCGTCGTCTTTCCTGCTCCCATAATCATTTGATGGCACATTGATTGTCCGTTTCTGAGTGAAGTCAAGAACTTGTTCACAAGAATGACTTGGCTCTTTCGGAGCATCAACGAATAAGTAAATTCGAATACCAGATATCTGGGATCAAACTCAATGAAGCTTGGATTTGAGGGATCAACCTTCATGAAGTGACGTTCGTTCGTAATGTCTGTGGCCACCTTCGACGATTGTAGAAAGATTTCTTGATTGATCCTATTTCGATCCTCTGGAGTCTTCGCCTTTTTAATTCTACGCAACAATAGCATCAGTTTTGTCAAGCTATAAAGCAGAATGGGGTGAGTAATTTTCAAAAACAGAGCTGCAAATGCAAGCAAAGGTTTACCTTGTGAGGGCTCGATCTGTTTGACCGATACGAATCGATGTTAACATCGCAACAACTGTTAGACTAGTAACAGTCTTGTAAGCCACAGCAGACATGTATGGATTCAAAGACCTGATGTCATGCTCTGCAGTTGTCGACAAGATAGAAGCAACAAGAAGTTCGAAAAATGCAGCAGGTTCCCGCTCGCTCACTTGACCCAATCGGAATCGCAAGAAGTCAATTTCTCCGTTCACACCTCCAGCTTTTGGGGTGTCGCTTCTCTCATCACTAGTTGCAATAGCCAAGGCTCTGCTCATCAGGTTCCACAGCGACTTGCGATCAAAACTCATAGCCTGGTTCAGCCCTGTGATTAGCTTATCAAGCTGAGAAAGAGCAGCTGTCAGAGCAGCAGGGTTGCTGTGGAAAGCGTTTACCTCGGCGGGTGAAAATCCAATCAAGATCGGTTTCTTTTCAGAGTTAGTCTTTTGAGAGTACTTCAGCATATCCGTAGAAATACGCTGCATTGTCGCTTGTGAACAGTGAGTTTGGGTCACCCTATCCCCAGAGACATCAAAAGGCAATGCGCCAGAAACCAATGTTTCGCCGAGTTCGCTTCTCGACAGATATTTGACAAATTTCTCAAGCTTCATTGGGGCTAAAGGTTTTGATGCAAATGCCATGAGTTGCTTCTGTGGAATACTCACGGCCTCGCAATTTTTGATATCCAAAAAGAACTTAGAGCAAGAGTAATCTGTGATTCTTGGTACTACCCACAACCGATGTTGGGAATATGAATCAGGCCGTGCCAATATCATCGCTGTTCTTGGGGTTGATTCTTGTAGAACAGTAGAATTTGGAATCAAACTTCGAATGGCCTCTTCAGCAAAGAATTGATGAAGCTCGTGAAGCAACCGTGTCACCGCATCCTTTCCAGCAAACATTCCTTTGAGCTTGTTCATTCCACTATCGGGATTGAACTTCGGAATCTTTGGATGGTTTGCAATTTGGGGGTTTTCTGCAAGAATTCGAAGTGCGGACAATTCTGCAGACCCCGCCTTGAAGTCCGCAGGTGGTATGAGTCTGAAGAGCATTCTCCCCCAATTGTGTGGTCTATCGTTCGGATGAACCTTGAAAGCCACAGTGTTCGTAAGCAAATCATAGATCAGTGGAAAACCGTATCGTGGGGACGCAATCTCAACACCATTTGCCATGGCATTATTGATAAACTCAAGCGCCTTTAGCCCGCCATATGCCACGTCGTCCTGGAAACAAGGAGTGAGATGTTAGAAAACGTAATTATGAGCAGGTCATGACTCTTTGAAGATCGAATTTACCTCTTCTGGTCTGCTATATACTGCACCAAACACCTTTGCAGAAATCAGTGTCTTCTTTGGATTTTCAATGATTGTGAAATCTGGTCCCATGTCAAAGTTATCGAAGGTGGGTGGTCTTTCTGTACCGAGCTTCACAGTAAGCTTCTTGCCTTTGGGAAGTGCTGCAAGACTACCCACAGCTGTTACAAATGCCTTTCGGTTCAACAAAGACAGCGACAACCGACCACTGGAATCTGGCTTGCATAGCTGCAAAAGAAGCAACTCTTCCTCTGTTGTCAGACGACATGCAGACGAAACGTAAGTGTGCTTCTTCACATATTCCTCCATTTCTTCTTCGACGCTCCAAGGACAATTCATTGTAGATTCTTCACCCAATCCCACTGTCACGATTGAAAGTTTCAGTCGACAAGCATGCGCATCGGGGTGGTAGTCGTTACCAAGAAATTCCAACTGATTGAAAATTTGTTGCTACAAGCACAAACGTGTTGGCGCAAGTGTGAGTGATGGGCACTGTTTTTTTCCTTCAAATTCGGCAGATGGAATCACTTACTTCTTCAGGGCTCAAGTCCTCACTGACACATGACTCAACCATCTTGAAAACCTCTTGATAGGCGCCTGTGATAAAATACATCACCATCAAATACAGCGACGATGCAAGAGAGGGTGTCACCAAAAAGGATCTAGAGTTGTGAATCGGATACAAGTAGCAGCGAACTTCCCCAATATTATCAATCCATTCTTGGTTCCGCCGATCCAGAATCACTTGTACTGAAAGACGAGAACCATCCGTATTCAAACGTCGTGGCAACGCACACCCAGGCACCAGAATGAACAAGTCGCTCTCTGCATTCTGGAGCACGATAAAGTGAGAAATATTTCCGAGAAGCTTGTCCGCAATCTCTCTTGCGTCGTTGGAAATAGCAATGTACAAGCCATCATAATCGTTACTGTAGAGACGGTATTCCGTTTGTCCATCACTGTACTGAAATTGGCTTGCCTTGAAGGAAAGATTGACGCGTGGAAGCTCGATATAGTCAATTGTCGCAGCTGCATGGGCAGATGTAACACTCTGTTTGCTCCAAACAAGCACATGGGCAAGATTGTCAAGCTTTGACAAGAGCATTCCAACACGTTTCAGAAGCGATGACGGAGGCGCAGACATGACATTCAATAGAGTGTAAGTCTGTCGATCTTTGTCAACCTCCTCCGTCAAATGACTCGAACTCAAGACCGGTACACGCTGGACGACGGCCTCTGCGTCGGTATTACAAAAGCCAGTGGTATCAAGTCCAGGACCCTTGGAAAGTGTGATTTTCAACCGCGTTGATGAAGTATTGCCTTCGCCCTCTTGTGCCTTATTATCGTCGTCGTCGTCTTCATCATCGTCATTTCTTATCTTCTCCTTTTCATAGCCGATGATATCATCGTTCTCGCTTTGCCAAAAGACATATGACTCAACCAAAGCAGCTGGAAGTAGCCCTGCCATGAACCTTTCAGGGATGTACGTCTGGGTACCCAACTCTGAATTCAAGGCTCTTGTAATGATCAGTGAAGGAGCTGGATCAACCGTTGTCATCGGCACGCCAGCGGACAACGCAAGAATACCACCGACTCTATCAGGATATGGTTCTCCATTCTGTACCTCGTGCAAAGATGTCGAGAGATCAGAAGAATATTCAAGTACACGGAAGTGTCTTCGACCGTGCTCAACAACATTGAAAACTGTAATCGAGGGCGGGTGTTGGTGAAGAACAACTTCCTTCAGCGTATGTGTACACGTTGAATCATCCTTTTTCTTGTTCTCGATCCAACCTGTCAGCATAGCGAAAGGTTCATCAGAAAAGTCCTTGCTTGCCATGTATAGAGTTGCTCCAGGAAGGATCAATGGTGCTTTTTCTTTCAGTACATCAGCCATCCACCCCTCACCAGCCCGAAGACCCCGCGGGAATTGTCGAGAATGTTTCGTGTCCATGAATCCCTTCAAATCTTTATAGTTCCTCTGGTCTGGTGCCCATGATTGGACATCATATCGCCGGCCCACCAGACGCCACCAGTAGCGGTTGCTGGTATGCATTACCTCGGCGCATGCAGCATCAGTGGCTTTTCCCATCGCTAAATAGCGCACTGACTTGAAATCTGGGTCTTCCAAGACATGAGGATCTAGCAAAGTCATCTTGTGGTTCTGTAAAGTGAAATCACTGAGCTGGACGTTCACTTCTATACCAACTGCCTTGGTTGTGACACGTAACATCCAGTCCTCATATGATTCGTTCGGCCTTGGTCGTCTATATGAACCGTCTCGAAGCTTGATATCCTCAGTGTCAGGGACCATTCGACCGTAGCAGGTGGAATGCCCAATGCTTTGCCAGTGTCGGTTCTTGAACTCGGGGTCTTCTTTGTCTCGGCTACCAATTCCAGTTGCTACTCTCACAACAGATTCGATGGCGACATCTCCATCTTCCTTGTGCTCTCGCATGAACTTCAAGATGTTGAATCTATGACTCTGAATGGTATCGAAAACCTCGGACTGGGCGATTTGAATTGAAGGCGGTGGTTGTGTCGGCTTGCTTGTATCTTGCAAGTCGTCATAAACAGCCGAGCTGAAGCGAAGGTTGATGGTCAAATACACCTGAGACGACAAGATGATGGAAACAGCGCGTTTATCCAGGTCTTCGTAGTCGTAGTTCTTGAACAAGTACAATAGATGTGCATGGACCCGGCAATTGATATCGACATCCTTATTTCTGGTTGGATCAATCCAGTACTCAAGTGTTGGAATCGCTTGCGAATCCAAAATGACACGGAGCTTTTTCAATGCGACATCAACTCGAATCTTGTCAAGAGATTCAAGACCTCTGGGCCGAGGCTGCCCTGGAACACATCTCTTTATGGCATATTTCAAGTACCCTTCGACACGAACCGCAAGCCGAATAGCGTAGAGGATAAGTGGGCCCGATGATGATTTCTTTGTGTACTTTCCAACATCCATATCAAGTGCACGTTCTAAGATCTTAACAATACTTGCAATGAGCACGTCGGGAGATTTTGCGATCTCATTGAAGAGAGTTCCGTGCGCTGTCGCGAGCAAGGCTTCTAGTCGGTCAAAATCTTTGATTGGAATTTGGTCGACCACATCTGTGAAGTCGGCTGGTTTCCATCGACCGGGCTCAAAAAGTGCAGCATCCACGATCATCTGAAGTGATTTTGCTTTGAGTGCTGTCAATCTTTGTGGATCTCCGTTGGCAAAGAAGTCCAAAATAAGAGGAATTCTGATATATGGCACAGTCAAGAATTGAATGAATTTCTCAGCGTCTGCAGGTTTCAAAACATGACCGAATGTTGGTAGCTCTTTGTTGTCGAGATGTAGTACATCATCCTCGGTCCGTACGGACACATTCTTCGATCTGCAAGCAGCAAGCAAATACTTGGATTAGATAAAGACTTGAGAACATCCTCATGGCAGCTTGAACGTACCTTTTGCTGCTAATGAACTTGTCTCCGCACGAATTGACCACCGTTGTAGGATCTGCAGACGAAAGACGGGCTCTAACTGCCTTTTGCTTACTCTTGAAAAGCGACAAGAATCCCTTGTATTTGTTTTCAAATTTCGGTGCTTGTGCAACAAACTCAACAAAATCTTGAGGGTGATGATCAAAGGCTGTTACTTGGAAAAACAATCTTGGGTCTTCCTTTGCTTCCTGCTTGACGTTCCAGTGCAACGTTGCATGAGCCGGAACCCAATTTCGAGCCTTGTGCGCATCTTTCTCCTTTAGCTCGGCGACTGGGGCCTTTCCTGAAACTGCATGCTTGAAGTGGAAAACAATATCTCGGAAGTATTCAAATTCAGGGAGCACTTCAATGATTGATCCATTTCGTCCAGAGATAAGCTTCGCCGAATGGTTGATCATCGCCTCATCTGTCATCGGATATGGTCGAACAAGAGCAAGTTGGATCGATAGCTGGTTGATCAATGTGATATCACCTCCCATTGGGGTCAAGATGGAATCAAAGTTGAAGATCGTCTCCCGTTTCATACCACTTCTGTTGTAAGTATTCTCCCGCATGTAATCCAAACATCTGAATCGAAGGGAACACAAATTGGGATCGTAGATAGGAAGATTGGAGCCCAAAGTATCGAATGATCCAGCCTCGATAGCAAATGGCTGTGTTGGACCTTCGCATTGACCAGAGTAGTGCAGGGCAAATGTACTGGGATCATCGCAAGCCTTGACACGGCAAATTGCGTCGGCAACACAAGCTGCACATCCAAAAGTAATGGATCGAACAGCCACAAGACCACGAGACTGCTGGACACAAGCAGTAGAAGCAGAGTAGATTCGACAAATACGACGAATCAGGAACAAAAGATTCAGCTGCGTTTCACGTCTCATTTCAGTCTTTCTCCAGAAACAGTGCTTGGGATCCGAATTTGGCATGGGCAACAAAACCGTCATCGCATGCTGAGCTGCAGAGGCAGCAAAGGCTGCTGCATTCTTGATCAATCGACGCTGTTGTAGCAACAAACTACAAGCATCTGCGATACGTTGCAGTCCGGAAGATGCTGTTCCAAAGTCAGTTGCTTGTGGTGGTAATACATCATCTGTCAGCACTGGCGGAATCAAAATTGGATCCGGCCGTTGCTCTCCCATCAGTTTCTTGACAACATTTTCATAGTCATCGCGACGGTGCCGCCCAAAGAGAGGAAATGCTGCAGAACCAGCATCGGCACGCATCGAATGAATAAGTCCCTTCGAAAAGCTATCACTTTGAGCAGATTTTGACAACCCATGGCTGTATTGATCCATAGGCTTGGCTGCCGTGAATTTGATCTTTTGGTGCAACTTATCCAACAACTCCCAAGTTCCAGACAAGGATGGTCCAAGTGTGCCGTCGCCGACACTCGTAGCAGTCAATGTCGAAGCAAAGTTGGCAAGATTTCTTCCAGTCAACTTCAAAATACGAGTATCTTCAGGATCCATGGAGGAACCAGGAGCATGCTCAATTTCCAAATACGCCAAATCCACAGCAGTATTCATCAACAGTAGAGACGAGTATTTGGATGTTCTGCATCCATTCTGCGGCGTAGTACACAATGCTAGTCTTGACAATGGGTGGCAAGTCGAGGCTGCAATTGGATCGGGAATGTCCCAATAGTCCGCTGGTCCTTGATCCAAATTCGACCGCAATGGTTGCGAGTTCAAAGCTGGCAGCAACTTGGTGTACAAGAACTTGGCCGAGTTTCTCTTGCTAGGGTAAATTTGCATGCGGAACAGAATGGTCCAAAACGCAGAATCCATCAATCTTCTTCCTGGAATATTCCAAACAGTCAGGGCTAGCTGCTTCAATTCCTTTCCAGTCTCCGAATCAAATGTCGACGGATGGTACTCCAGGCCATCCTTTCCAGTGTTGCAGACCGTAAAACTGAACTTGTCACTTCCACAATTTCGGACAATGTACAAACACAAATGAAAGGAATCTGGCTTTTGCCATCCTCCAGGAAGAACCACCTGCTGGTTGGCCTCCAAGTTTTCCATCAATGGCACAAAGACATTGATAAAATTGAGGAACATTCCATCCAATGCCTTCCCAGAAGCTCCAGCCGAGTGAGGCAACAACGACATGAGCTTGATGCATGCTTCACAGCCAAGATGGTTCTGTCTCAAGGATTTCATTTGTTGACCATATCGACTGCGACCACTTTCGGCAACCACATGGCAGAGAAAACTCAACGACTTGGCCAGTTGCTGGTAGGCTCCAGCTCGGTCTTCCATTTGCTCCTTGGTCGGTGCAAAGCGTCGAACATAGCTATCCAAGCTCATGAGACCCCAAAAGGGAGGTACACGGAAAATCGGCGAGAACTTTCGGGATGGCAACTTCCCAGTTGTTCCTGCGAGTTGATCGTAAGGATTGAATCGTGGCTCCACCGCTGGACCACCGTATCCATAGGCAGTCGACAAATCACCAGAGCTTTCAAACGACACTCCACTGGAACCAATTCCACTCGTAATCTGTTGCTCTTTCTCCTTGGCAAGTTCTTGCTTTTCTCTTCGCATAATCTCCTTTTGCTTTGCCATTTCCTTTTCACGCTGACGAAGGGCTTCTTGGTCGGCCTTCGAAATTTTTGGCGGTGCTCTTGGTCCACCAGTTTGAGACGGTATCACCAATGGCTTGTTCATGGAGAGCCCGTAACCACCAGTTGCCTTAGTATTTTGCTGTTGCATCGAAGGTGAAGGATTGACTGCCGGCGGCACTTGTGCAATGGTTGGGCTCGGTTGTTTCGGTGCTGAAGCTGGACTTACAGCGCCTTGTCTTCCTCTAGTCGGACTCACTGCCCGTGGAGTAGTTGTTGCCACCATTGGGGTAGTAGACATATCGGTTTTGATGGGTGGTGGGGCACCAGTGTTGCTAGTGACAGGAGAAGAAAACGCAGCTTTGATTGGCGATGGAAGCGTTGGAGCTTGTGCATTCGCACTTCCAAAGGCATTGGTAGGAGTACTCAATGAGGGTGCTGGAGCGGGCTGTCCCGAGTTCATTGTTGGCAATCCAGCAAAGGGATCGTCTGCTTGCATACCAGCAAAGGGATCCGGTTTTGGTTGCATTCCACCTTGTTGGATTCCAGGGGCACCAAAACCCATTTGCTGCTGTTGTTGCTGCTGTGGGGCTCCAAAACCAGTCGGCTGTTGCGGCCGTTGCCCAAAGGCAGGAGATGCCTGGTTGTATCCCGTCGAATTGGCAGGTGACGGCTGTGCATATCCCTGTTGTTGCATTGCAGGTGGTCTACTTTGTTGTTTGGCAGGAGCAAAGGACGCTTGCTGCATCCGCTGTTGCATGTTTCCCGGTTGTTGAAAGGCAGCCTGCTGCTGCTGCTGTTGGGTGACATAGGCTGGAGGAAACCATCCTTCCTTGCCGTTGCAAGATCCCCACCACCAAGCGCCACTTTGATTGGGTTTGGCGGTAATCAAAGCTCCTTTGGGAAAGCTGAGTTGTGATTGACGAACATCACCTTGAAAAGGATGCTTAGCAAGGTACTGAATCGTCGCCATCCTATTCAAACTGTCGTTCGTTCCCGCAGGTTCTCAGCACGACTGATCTTGTTTCAAACCAACGCGGATCTTTCACCTGTCGTCTTTTTATCAATTCTATTTGTCAGCTGTTGCAGGCTGAGTGGGTAATAGCGCAAATGTCCCACTGCCTTTATCTGTAAGTTGGTGTGGACAATCAAGCTGGGAAACGATTAGAGTCTCCAGCTGTTTTCCCAATGTCCAAAAGAAAGCAACGGTTTGTCGCAAAAGATCTTTGGCTGATCTCGGAGGTTGGAGCAATGATGATGTTCTCGGCTGTACGCAAAAAATCTACGAAACGGGCTGGCTTGTTTCGATCCGTTAATTTCGTGGGTTGGCTACTGCCTACCGGTAGTACCGGTAGGTACGTTTCTAGCTAGACGTACAGTCTTGCTTGGTTATATTTATTAGCGAACACGATCGACTGACTGATTGAATTGATTGATTTGAGGGCAACTTGAAACTACGTCACAAATTCGAAAATTCGTATCTTTCTCCAATTTCATATTGCGCATCCATCACAACACATCTTTCTGGGCAAACAAACCAGGGACATTCATGGCTTCCACGTCGGCGTCTTTCATAATCTCATCCTTTTCAGCCGTTTCCTCCGAGTACAATAGACGCATTGACTGTGTCAAGTCCGCGGCAACCAAAAGGTTATCGGGAGTAACCCGCACAAAATCAAAGGCGAAGACGATTGGAGCATTGTGCTTGCTAGCCACTGGCGGGACCTTTGGATAGCGCTGTGAGAAATGTGTCAAAATGACAGCTTTGGCCTTCATGTCTTCGGCCACTTGCAGGGCTTCGCCGATTGTGGAATGTCGTTTCAATGTGGCTTCGGCTTCCATTCCATTGGCAAAGGTAGCTTCATGAATCAGCAAGTCGGCACCCAATGCAGCGTAGGCCAATGGTCGAGAGGGTCGACAGTCTCCCGAGTAGACCAATCGTCCGAAACAAGTGTTTTCCAGTATGACTGCAAAGGCGTCTCGGCAGTGGGCTACTGGCACTGAAGTACACCTCGTAATGCCCAAATCCTTGTGGAGTTGTTCCATCTTTTTGGCGTGAGATTCATGTTTCTCCGGGAGCCACAAATGCCGCTGCACTTTGGTGGAAACTTCTTTACAATCGACAAAGGTGTACGATCCTTGAACTGTCGCATCCACCTCTTGGTATTCCAGCAAAAAGGACAGCATGGACGTTGGTGCAATCAATAACAAGGGGTCATCCGTGACTTGGTTTCGGTCCGAGAGCAACCGCAAGAGTCCAAGGTGGTGGTCCGCGTGTGGATGAGAAATCCAGACTGCCTTGATGGCACAAAGAACCTCGGAAAAGCTTGATGATAGAGCTCGCATCAATTGGCCCACCGTGCCTTCTCCCACATCCAATAGCATGGCATTGCCATTTTCCATTTTCAAGTAGATTCCTGAAACATTTCGATATTTGCACGGAATGGCGGATCCAGTCCCCGTAAAGATGAGTTCTCCCCTATTTTTGTCATTGTTCGCGTTGGACGTCAACACGGAGGAGTGATGGCTCAAGGCATTTTCAGCCTCGCCTTTGGCACCGGATTGTTCCAATATTTGCAAGACTTGTTTTTGGATCGAGCGCCAGTGCAGGACCGACGCGTTTCGACTGCCAAATCCACGCTTGGATCGCGGGACGATTATGTATTCTAGCAACGGTTGGGCTTCCATGTAGCCTGGTACGGTTTCGCCCTCTGGTTGTGCAGCAGGTGTCGTCTCTCTGAGCTGGATTGGTATATTGGGTACATTGTAGACGGAACTGCACACTTTGGAACGAGCAATCGCTCCCATCATGCCGGAATGAAAGGGAGAGGACGTTTCTGTACTAGATCGCAAATCTGTCGCAAGAAAGATGTGCTTGACTTCACTGCCAAAGGATTCACGCCATTCCTTCGCTTCCTTTCCAAGAAACAAGTCGCGAGTTGCCATGTGAACAATCACCTCCAATACTGGATGGCCCTTCTCATTCTCCTGGTATTCTTTCAGCTTTTCAGATGATTTTAGCTGATCCAGGCATTCATTCGAAGGATAGTATAGGACAGCTATTGATATGCCTGGTGATCCTGGTTCTACCACCTCGGAACTTGAAATCGTTCTTGTGGTGCCGGCCTCATTTGTAAAGGTTACCGATTTACCATTTTTCAATTGACCAAACAGCGGACCTTTTGGAATACCGAGCGCTATTGCACGCTCCACTAGGAACTTTCCTTGAATGGGCGGAGTTGTAAATATATAGGATAAGGCTTGATCATTGGTTTCCAGTCGTTGCCGTTTCGTGGAATCTTCCGAGCGATGAAAATCATTTGTATGGCAAACTATGGATTGTACATCATAGGCACCTTCGTTCTTGCTACCTTTCTTTCTCTTTTTTGGCCCACCATTTTTCGGCTGAGAATAAGCACCCTCGTGAACCTTTACTTGGAAAGAGTCTCGTCGCATAAAATGACGAAGGGAGCTCACAAATTTCTGGGTCCCAACCGGTCCGAGAAGATGCAGACCAGGCAGAGCAGATTCTTCTGGTTTCTGTGGTTTCTTATTATTATGAACAAGTGCAGCCTTGGCACTACTTACAGCATCCTGAAGCACATCAGCGGCAGTTAGTATCATTCCCGGAATCCCACCGATGGAATCATGCGACAAGTGGGTAAGACAGATTCGATTCATGCTGGAAACCTTTTGGCCAAATTCGAGAAATGTTCGTTGACATCCTTCACCACAATTCACCAGCGTCTTGGTGCCATCTGAAGAAACAAGAAGGACTGAAGGAGATGAATCCAGTGATTTGGTAGATAGAATTCGGACTGAATAGGACATTATCTCAAAATGGCACGTCTAGGATACTCCATCGTTGTTCTTGGTTGTTGTAGGCAATGGACAATTTGTGAGAGGAGAACGACGGACATCGGCGTTGTCTTGCCTTCGCCAGTCTCCAACTTCGAACAATACGAACGCTTCATGCTTTTGATGGATCGATTGGGAATCATTCATCGACAATCTATCTCAATCCTGCACCTATCATTTCTTCCTCTGATACAAAAATATTTTGGCGATACCATTGACAGATCCGCCAGCATATACATATTAAATACATAGCTTCTGCCTTGGGTAATTTCTCAGTCAATCAAGTTCTCAAGTCATGTCAAACAATCAATTTGCGTCGTTCAACCCAACGACGGCACTATCCTCCATCGCTCATGATCCTTTAGTCACATTGTCTTCGAACTGCATTCGAGACTTCTTTGGGCCAACCGTTCAGCTTGTTGCAGATTGTCTACAGGCACAAGGTGGCGCGTCTACACTGGCACAAATCATCAATACAATAAAAACAAAATTGGAAGAGAGAGGTCGAACAAAGGAGCGAGTGGAAATGATCAAGGTTACTAGACTTCGGACCATATCATCGTTTGGGAGACCTTCTGCAAATTCCATTGGAGCAGCCTTGCTGGTTCTAATCCAACACTCTATTGTCACATACACAAAAACGTTGACAGTTATAAGAGAGAAAAAGAAGATGATATATAGATACAAGTTCGATCCTGATAGAGCTCGACTGCTCCCAAGATATCCTCGGTATGTGGAATACACAAAGAAATCCATGGGGGAAATTGGAGCAGCACTAATCGAAGAACTTCTTCTACAAGGGCGTATGCGTACTGTGGATGCTGTCGAGCAAACAGTGGAGCAATTGAAGCAGCTAAAGAGTCCACCTGCTTCTGATCGCTACACATATCGTGAAGCAGTCCTTGGGTGCTTTGGGCGCCTTGTTCAAGGTGGGTATATTGAGGAAGTAACAGAAGTCAAAGATGACGGTGGCGATGCTGGAGAAACCGAGTTTCATGGTTTAGATACTTTACTGGGAAACGAGGAATCCAAAGAAAAAGTGGACAGCAACGACAATCCAGCCACAGTTTCGCTACTGCAATCAGGACAGTACAAGAGTCTCCAACCATCCACTGTCTGGAAAGTTAATATTCGTATGTTCCATGATTCCTTGCGAGCAGTATCACTAGGGACTCTAGTGTACGAAATATATGGGCAAAAGGTACAGTTCGCGGGGTCGATGGTGGCAGCTGCACTCAAGCTTGCTGCCTACAAAGAACATGCAGAAGGCGACAAGAACTTTGAGTCTCAAAAGCTATTTAGTACCGAAAATATTCAGAGGTATTTGTCAAAGCCAGTATTTCAAGACTTGGAGAAGAAGCCCGGAGGTGTCAACCTAAATATGTACAAGACACTCCTCGAGCTTTGTAAGTGTCACCACCCTCAAGTTGTGCAACAGGTGGAAGTTGCCGATGGCCATCCTGAAAATGCAAAGTTTCAAATCACAACGTCTAGGCTAGTTCAATTCTTGCAAGATCGTATTGCAAAGCAGGTATGTCAGTTTCACTTGGAGTGTGCAACGTGTCAACACTGTCTCATGTGTCTCGTCGTTCCTTTAGATTATTCTTGACAGTCACGGTGAAATTGCCGCGAGAGTATACGCTATATTAAGAGCAAAAGGTAGTCTCGAGTCCGATACGATTGCTGAGATAGCAATGGTTCCTGCAAAAGAAACAAGAGAAGTTCTTCACCGACTGTACCGGGAGAAATACATCGCTCTCTTCAATCTAAACCAAGGAAAACAACACAATCCAACCAGCATGTTCTATATATGGTCTGTATCGCACGCAAGGACCCTGCAGCATACAACTGACAGTGTATGTACTGCACTATACAATATGAGACTGAGGCGGCAGCACGAAGTTGAAGTCGGGAAAGAATGGATCGAGCGACAAGAACATGGAGCAGAAGAAGAAAATGAGAGTGAAATTGACAAACTCAAGTTTACACAATTCTGCAAAGGGATGGAACGGCTTGACAGAGCAGCCTTACAACTTGATGAAACACTGATGGTGTTAAAAGACTATTGATAAAATACAAGTTACTTCAAGTTAAACTGAAGTAGATCGTTCAAGTTTCTCATGGTGGTGGCCACTGCCACACGCTTTTGTTCGTTTTAGTGTCAAAAAAGTACCATCGTTTCTGGCTTTTTGACCACACGCACATCCACCCTGGTGGCAAATTCACGTTGGGCTTTTGCTCTGGACTTTGGTAGTCAATTGCTGGTTTCGGTGGCGGAGATGCTTCTTTCTGACCTTGGGGTGGTTGTCCAGGATTTGGGCGACCCTGTTGCTGAATGCTAGGGAACTTCGGTGGAACAGAATTCGGTCGAATTGGAGGTGGCGGTTTTGTTGTGGACGGTGATGGCGATGGCGAAGATTTAGGAGGCGGTGGTCTTGAGTTCGGTCCAGGATGTTTCTTTGAAGGCGGAGGCTTTGGAGGAGGTGGGCGGGGAGGTGGTGGAAGAGGCTTTTTGGCAGTTGGCTTTCCTGGTTGTGACGGTGGCGCAGGTACAGACGACTTTCGTGGCGGCAGTGTAGGCAAAGACGGTCTCCGAGGGGCTGATTCGGGTAAAGACGGCCTTCGAGCTGGTGGTGGCTGCTTTGCATGCTCACTCTTTACCCGATTTGGTTGTGGTAGAGGATGTGCCGTTTTTGAATGTGTCCCCGAGGTATCCTCGTGATTTGCTTTGACTGGCGATGGAGGTGCTTCCACCTTGCGGCGCTTCACTGGAGCTTCGTCAATACCGTCATCAGATCTTGTTGGGCTTTTTCTCACCAGACTCTTTCGAGAAATTGGTTTCCCAGCAAATGCGGCTTCTCCCTCTCCTTCGATAGATGAAAATGAGTCGTGAGGAGGTGAACCAGGTGGCGTCATAGCTCCCGATTGGTCCTCATCATTTCTGGCTTTCTGCATTGACGGCGACTGGGACAGAAATTTCAAAGGCACCAGTGAATCCGCCCGTTTATCTTTGTATGGATTTCCAAAGTTCACATAGAGGCGAGAGTTGACTCTTGCCTGGACAGAATCAGCAAATTCACCAGTTTTCGAGTCAAAAAATGCCACGGGCATTGCGTCATCGTCCACGGACCAAACAGGCGCCCCATTCACGGCAGTAGTGGCTGATACTCCAGCGGAGTCATTGGAGCCGTACCCAACAACTGGAGCTCGCGACCACAAAAGGCGCTCTCTGTAGTCCCCCATTTTGGACACCGTTGTTGAATTCAGTTGCGAAACACCAACACCTGCCATTGATAGGAGTGGTACTTCGAAAATGTCCTTCTCCGCTCCACATTGCTGGCTATTACATCCATCATTCGGAACTCCATCGATAAAGAGGCCCCGTGTGGAAAGTCCAGAGCCTCCGAAGATCCACCGCCGTCTTGATTCATAATATGCCATCAGGCAATTAGCTGGGAGATCCCCAAGTGACACAACAGCACTAGTCCGTTTCCTTTTGCCTACTTTCGCTGGGGATGATTTAGAGAGAGGAGCTGCAGTACCTTTTGTCTTTTTCGTACCAACTCCCATACGCCAAGGAGCGGGCATATTTTTCAAAGCTGCAAGAAAGCTATCTGTACTAAATCGTGCGTCAAATTGGCCATAACCAACAGCAGTAGATGTAGGCTGGGCGGCATCTGCCCCCCGTTTTCCACCGTGTTGTTGCAGTTGCTGTTGCTGCTGCTGCGGAATTGGTAAGGCAACAAAATTCCCGCGGCTTCTCAATCTTGCTTCTTGGTTTTCTTGTCGTTCAATTCGCTCATGAGCCTGCTGCTCTGCGAAACGTATCTTCTGAGCGCAGTTTTTGGAAAAGCACTGGAAAGCAAGCGAACCTTCCGCGCCATCGGCAGCAACCAAGGCAGCGACACTGGTAGGCAGGATACCCCTTAGGCTCCGCTTTAGGGCATTCTGGTAGTATGGAGGGAGACGAAACAAATATGCTCGGAATTCGTTTCGCCAGTGATCGTCTAGGTGAACATTTCTCGAAGCAGCAATCAGCTTCTGAGTTATGTTTGCACTTGGATAAGCCCCATCTTTCTCAGCTGAAGCTTGAATCTTCTTAAGTGCTCGGTGCTCAAGCTCTGCAGCTCGGAGCAGCAATGGCAATAGAATATGAGGCTCAGGCGGCAAAAGAGTAAGGGTTGAGACACGAGTCGCAGAACCCAGTGATGATCCGAGAGAAGATGTCCTAGGTGGAGTGTGCAGAATACCAATGCTGAAATAATTTGCTTCTCCGTCATTCAATGCAGGCCGTCCTGCTCCAATGACAAGCACAGGGAAATACTCCATACCGTCAGGATTTTGTGGCCCCCATGTAGCTTTTTGATCAGGAGATATCCAATCACAAATATACACGTCACGACTCAACAACTTTGGTTGTTGCTGACCTTGCATTTTTCTACTCGACAATATTAATTGGTCCAGACGGGCAAGCGCTTTCATCAATGATGCAGCCTCGAAGCACTTTGAACCCAAGCGTCCAGGATAACGAGAAAACAATAGAATGGGCTGGGCAGGCCTAGGGGGGAGAGTGTCGAGTTTTTTACTTGGAAAGAATGATTCGGGAATGCACCATATTGGAGACTGAAATTCAACTTGTTCTTTCGGGGCTGGATTGTTTTGGGTGTACGCTGGTTTGTGTGGAACGTAGAGGAGCATTGCACGATACCTTGGTGGTGCCTGACCATCCATTTCTGGCTCGAGAGCTTGAAAGCAGCAGACAGGGCCTCCACTAACAAATGTGCCATTCCCACCAACGAGCGAGCGATTTGATCTGTCGAGATTCTGAATTGGGTCGGGAATAGGCAGATCTCGGGGTCTTGGCGGCGCAATTTGGTTGAGGAGGTGACCAGTCACTTGCGACAGCGACACTGATGATCTCAGAATCAAATGACTCCCTCCAGTCACTTCGCATAGTGTGCGCAGATGAGGATGCAAAAATTGAGAAGACTGTACCCCATCTTTGGCTCCCACTCCAAGGCAGAATATTCTTTGATCCCATCGGAATGGCTCCTTGTAGAATTCTCGGAGTGGCATGTTTCCATATTGAAGTTGCAATGATCCACCACCGTCAGTCGATGAAGAGCGTAAGCATACCCCATCTGTAATAAGAACCAAACACGCTGGTTGTAATGCATGCATCGCAGCGCCTCCGCCGCTTGGATTCAGCAGTGCCGAAGAAGGCAAACGACCCATGCCAAAGTTCTCTGTCGAACGATTCGCCAGTCTGTATCTGGAGAGCAATTGAAGCCCCGCTGACAGCGCGGCGTTTAGACCGACTGCTCCACCGCCATCCTCAGGAAATGGTGTCGGTCGGTTTTCTTGGGACCTTCCTTTTGCTGCTTTGCTTGGGTCCCAATCTGTGGCTTGTAGCTGCTTCAGCTCCTTTTGAAAGCTGTTGACGTTGGATTGGCGAGACGCTTGATCACCGGGGTTATCTGATGTCTTATCCTCATGGTCTCCATAACCAACGAGGAGCCTCCCTCCGGCACCACAAGCTGCAGTTGCCGACTGTTGTGAGTGTTGTCTACCAGTGGAGAGTAGCAAGAACTTATCGTTTGGAGAGAAACCAAGACCGATATTTCGCATAGACTTTTGAATAGCCGGTTGCTGCTGTAGCTGTATATTGTGCTCCCTCGCTCGCTTATTCAGACCACGTACAATATCCTC